ATTTTCTTTTACAAAGACTGTTACAGATTTTAATTATTATTTCTATTTATCCTCAAATAAAATGGACAGCTCATGTTTAGGTTTGAAACAGGACCTAGATGTCCTAAAAAAATTATCTGAACTCTGATCATCCAAATATCTTTGCTCCTCTTCACCCATCTGTACAATTTGGCTCCAATATCAGTAAAGTTTCCCCCCCCCATATACTGATTGTTTGAAAGTTTCTCCTGAATGTTTTTATAAATTTGAAGTTTTATTTTGGTTTATAAGTACGTTAATATATTATATTTATGTAAAATGAAGTGGAGTTTTTGAAATTTAAGATTTAAACCGTGCAGCAACGGCTGTTAAATCATGTAAAAACTTTCAGGTTTGAAGAAAATTCTGGGTTTTTTCAAATTTAAAGAAAAGATAGATAGACATCTGCTGACTCGCTGGATTTTTTGAAAGTGGTAGTCTTTACATGAACAAATGCCTTTTCCTACTTGAGTTGTCAACATAAATTGTGTGCTTGCTTGTTTTCTTATTTATAAATTTTGCTGCAAACTTCTTCTGTATAGTCCTAGAAATATAGAAGTGGTCTTGTCATTGAAAATTCAGTTGCTTTAAGGTTCTCTCAGTTGCAAGAAAATCTTGACCCCCTGCCAAACCCCCCCTCCCCCACCCCCACTCCTTCGTTTTATAGGTTCAACAGTTGCTCTGAGATTCTATCAATCCCTCTCACCTTTAAGTTATCAAGTGTGACTAGAAGATCCAGGTGGATAACAGAAGGAATGATGATGTACTCTGACCTCTGACCTGTAGAGAGCTATATATCAGAAGGTTATGGCTAGTAAATATTATATTAAGAAATGTAGATGATATCTGGCTACCAGCTGGTCAGGGTCTACTAGTGGTGATGTAAGGTAGCAAGCTGATACTCACCTAGTTAACTCTCTTAGGATAAAACTGAATTCTTTCGGCTTGTCAAGGATTCTGTCATTTGGATCAAACTTAATGTGGTTTGGATTGTTGAAGGATCCTTAGCCAGTTAAAATTTGGATTAAATATACTAACAGTTGTGCGGATATTTATGGTCCAGTATGATACAAGCTTGATTTGGAAGTTGCTGTTCTTTTGGATTACATTTGTAGACTTTCAGAGATCTGGAAAAACATTCTGATTGTAATAAAATGATAGAAAATAAGATAATTAAAGAGTAAATACATTGAAAGATGAAATATTTATTTTGGCAGTTTTTTTTTATCAAGATATGGTTGAATGTTTAGAGAGTAACAGGTGAAAAACTGAGATAATTTTACTGATAGATCAGAAAATATGTTTTATTGACGTAGGTTACAGCAATTAGCTGATTAAAGGGGTTGTATTATGGAGAGGGATATTGTCTGGGCAGGGTTAGGGTGTGGGGTAATTGGAATGGGAAGGGGGTATGAGAAAGAGGTAATGTTTAGAGAAGATCAGGTAAAAGATAATTCTTTGGTTACGAAATTAGCTGATTAGGACAATTTATATTTTGGGGGTTGTGTGGGGGCTGGTTTAGGGGGGAGGGGATGTGAGTATGTGGACAGGGTTTGAGAGGAATGTATGGAAATAAACTGGTAGGTAACCAAGATATCTTTTGACAAAGTCATGATAAGCCTCTTTTGAATATCATTAAAACAGTGTATTGTAATATTTAATACTTCTGATTGTTTATTTACAATATAGAGTTGTATAGTCTAGTTTTATTTTAGCTGGTAGTTAATATGACTGGAGGCAAATTCCTGCTAAAGAAATTAGATCTAATTGTGGTTTGATCTTGTCAAATTGGAAAAGTTAAAATTGCCTCTTTTGTGAGAATCATTTAAGAATTTATTATTTCTTTCTCAGTTGTAAACAAAAGCTAGAAGTATTTTTAAATCTTTCAACTGTCAATTAAATTCAGCTTGATATAAACATGGACAAAATCTGAAAAGTTTGCTAAAGCAGCCTTGAACTCAAAGTAAATGAGCAGCTAGCCAACATAGAGGATGTAAAAATTAAAAGTAAACATTTAGTCAATTTGGAACTGAAAAGTTTTTGTAAGAGACACACTCCCTAAATTATAATTTTCTTTGAAGAGATATGAAGTAACTACAAAGAAAATTAAATCTAGTGTATGTATTTTTGAAGTTGACCTTGGATATTACGAACTTTCAAGAGAAATTATCTCGTATATAAAATTTAATATCTCACTCTCAAAAAGATATAAAATCATACATTAATTTTAAAATCTTAATGTTTTTCATGTGTTAAATTTTGAGATATGTTCCAGCTATCTTGAAAGACTCATTTCAGATATGATTCATATGTTATAATATTTAAATATAATTTTAAAAAAAACTTAATGAAGCTATCGTTACCACCACGTATTAATAAAATGTTAAATAATTTTTGAGATAAAGAAGTTCAGGTAAAAATAATCAGTTGATTGTCGATGTAAAATTGATTCCATCCAAATTTTCTACGAGGCTATGGTTATAATTTATGATATTTCCAAATGATGTAAATTAACGAAGCTATACCTCGTTAGCTCTAATTAGTGAAATGTTAATTAATCTAAAAGATAAAAGAGTCAAGGTGTAGTAAATTATGAAAATTATGTACTTGGATTGTTATAAGTGTCAGGAATTTAGATTGGAATCTGGTGAGAGTTCAAGAGAAACTGTGGAATGCTATTTCTAGCACGTCTGTAATGTATGAAATGAGGGATGTTGATCTACCTGTATTTTCCAGACATGTTGAATCTGGTGAGAGATCTAAAGAAATTAACACCATTTCTAGCATGACTGTAAGACATTGTCTTGGAATTTACCATATGAGATCTAGTAAAGTTTGATTCAATTTATAAACTACGCAGAACAATCTGTATTGACAAGAAACTTGTCCACATTAAAACAGATAACACAGACATTTTTTATGTTCACGAAAAGTAAACATGTTGTAAATTTAACCAACCATAATACCAATAAAAGTTTAATTCAAAAAATAAACGAGAGTATACAGCCAAAAACCATCTGACTGAAGGTTGAGGGAATTCTCGACAGAAATAAAAAAACAATTTGATTGCTATTTCCTTCTGTTTTTAACATTAATATTTACAAACTGCAAACTATAAATATATTTTTATCTCAAATCTCTGGTTGAAAAACAAACATTGCGTATCAAAGTTGTTGTAATATTTTTGGCTGATTATGCCAAAATAATAAATATTTTGCGTGAATACGACTTGTATTGATGTAATCTTTTGGCTCTTAATGTTATTTTTATATAAAAACATTTCTGCTGGGATAGTATATATATTAAGAGATGGAGTAACATACAATATGTCTATAGAGAGAACCAGTGGGAAATGATTTCAGTTTTTAGTTTTGTAATAAGTCTTTACTCTGTGCCCTTCTGTTTTCTTTGACTATAATAACCTTCTTTGGCTCTGATTTGTTCCGATTGTGAAACTGCTGTGGTTCTCTTTAAAGTATTTTTTTATGGACAAAGTGTTTATAAATCTTTGTTTTATTTTTCCCCGCTATCCAGTCCCTCTTCTCACCATTTCTTTTTCTGAATATCAGTCGTGGTTACGAAATGGCTTAATGTTTAGACAAACATAGTATTTATAAATTTATGTTTTCTATTTTCAGCGATCCAGTCTCTGGACTCCCTCAACGACCAGATAGTTCAGTACATCTTCTCTCAGAGTCATGTGGATATTAATTTGGAGAAAGATTTGTCACCACGGGAACAAGAGACTCTTCAATCTTCCATGGTGTTAATCCGGCGTCTTCTGGTCGACGCTCAGGGAAAGTTCAGGAAGATGGTAGAAGATAATAAACAGCTCGCGGCACGGATTGATGGATCTATTCAAGCTGCCAATCAAGAAGTCAATGCTCTACGTGCTGAGCTAGCCGACACGAATAAACGTCTGTCTCAGATTAGCTCTAACGATGATAAATCAGACATTGAGAAAAATGAAAGTGATCCAGAAACACCCACTGAGGAAAGTAAGTCCAGAATTTTTAATTTTTGAAATATATTTAATTTTTGAAAAATATTGAAAACAAATTAATTAAAACTGAGATTAATAGGAAAGTCCATAGGAAATTGAAACCACCGGCTTCACGAACCCTCTTCACCCTGGGACAATTGTTATAATTTTTAGCGTAGCTTTGGAATTACTAGTGGTAATAGATACAGTTACCGATAATATTTACCCACAAATCTTTCAAATACGGAAAATATTCCAGCTTTCAATAGAAAAAGAAAAGTTTGATAAAGCCAGGTGGTAATTGATATTTTTCTATCTGATAACTATCAACTACTCTTCCAACCTTTCTACTATAATAGAAATAAACTTGTACTAGCTTACTGATCAATCTAACATACCAAATGTTAAACTTGGGGATTGATCTTAAAATATCTTAACATCTATTGGGGTTTTTATAACTTATATTTGACAGTATCAAGTCAAACTCGAGTCTTAACTAAGTTATCTTTACATCTATTGGTAAAGTTTAACCTTTTTAGAATTTTGGCTCGAATCTGGATGAATCAAATTTAAAAAGTTGTGAAAGATTTTGGTCTCCGGGTTATGTTTATATTGAAACTTGTCATGATAAATTTTTGTTTTAGGTAGAAAGTTAATAATCAAACTTTAAACAAGTAATCAAGTAATTCTGAAAATTTAAAATATCTTCCAGTTGATTTGATTAAAAATGTCTCGCTACCTGCTGAGACTAAATTTACGCCATCTCTTTGATTAATTGCCTGATCACGTAGCCTCCCAATGTCGTCTGAGTCTAAAATTTCTCCATGTTTTTTCAGTTATACCCTTAAAGAAAGCTGATGATTCGTGTGATGATATCGAGACGGTGAAATTGAAAGAAGAAAACACGTGTTTACAAAATGAAGTTAAAAATTTAAAAAAAGAAATTGAGGGTTTAAAATCCAACAAGAAATCTACGAATGACGTTCATCCGAGTAACGGAGAGTTAAAATTAGAATTAATTCAAATGAAACAAGAATTCAATCGTGCCAAAGAGGCTTTACAAGGTTTGTTTCTTTATTACCATAGTAACACTTGATAGTACTTCTCGTTTGAGGAGTTCAATACTATACTATTATTGCTCCTGATTTTTTGGTTACTAGTTATTTTTTTGGTTTGCTTGTATGGTCAACACTAAGCAAGTGACATTGTCGTCTGCTAAGCAGTTAGGCACTGTAGTTTCGATCAATACCTCTTGAATTCGAAGATAGCTCATTGTCATCTGCTAGGCTAATGTTAAAAATACAAAAATACATCAAATACAATACTGTAGCATGTCACAAGCAAAGGCTTTGTAGAATTATAGTTTTTTGGGAAAATTAAATTGAATGGTACAGTTTCTGTCATCATTATTAATATGCAAACTAAACGATCTATAAAATGGAACACATTAACACCTTGCAGCTAGAATTCATAAATACAACTAATAAAATACTAATAACAGAAAAATAAAACAGCTATAAATGTCAGAAATGTAAAACGCTAGATTTCACTGTCATGATGGTGTTTATTTACATGTTTTGGTTTAGAGAGTATTTCTCTCGTACAGATAATTCGTACAACATGTGTACATGCATTGAAAACATCTTCACCAAGAATTTCTACCCTTCCGCAATTTTCTTTACTCCATTTTTGTTTCGTCCAACTTTTTAGATTTTTATTTCTGGGTTACACTTTTTTCATGCCTTTTTCAAACTGAATTTTGAGGTCAAATAAAAAGATGAAGATTTGCTCGTTCATTAATTCACTTAAAATGTTGCTTTGCCCAACCAATTCCCCTCGATTGAACCTTTTGAGATGTTCTGAAAAGTAGGTATTTTTCAATTGAGCTTTGCACGCTAGGGAATTTTTTCACTTCAGAATCTATGCACGCACCATTCACAGAAGATTATTAAATTCTATCATGCTTAGTGCCGCAGCAACACCAAACGTTTCTACAGTCTACATGCTCCAGATAATTTGGCAGAAAAAAGGAAATACCTGGGTAATATGTGAAGTGTTAAAAATACCAACAAGTCTACTAAAATAGCTAGCAGAACTATTCTGGGGAATCAAACAGTTTATTTATAGATATACTTACTTCACCAGCTGTGAAACACACATCAATATAGCTACAAACCTACACCTTCCTTCACATATTACTTCATTTCTTAATGATGATAGTTTTAATTTAGTAGGTGGGCAAGGTTTATCAACCAAATTAAGATGTAAAAATTTATTTAATTCTGAATCCTAATAATGAATACATTGCTTTTATTCTAAAACATTTTATATTTTCTCCAATCTTATCCGTGAATACATCAAATCATCTTGCACTAAAAAAACGAAAAATCATAACAGAGATTCTGCAGCTTAGAATTATGACAAGAGTTCTTAAAAAAGTTTCTTTGTTTGTGCTTTCAATAATCCCTATCCCACATATAACTATTTTAGAACCCACAAATAAATTTTTACGGACGTGACAAAATAAAACACAGAACTAAAACTCGGTGATGATAAGTTATGAAATATGAAATGTTCCAACTGTAAAATATTAGAGATATAACAGAAACATGAAAAGATACATACCAGCCTGTATAAAACTATAATTACTAGATTTAAAGATGAGATATCACTTGATAACTTTAATATACCATACAATAACTCACTGTAATATTTTATATCAAGATTCTTCATATTTTACATTTAGTTTAGACACTTTAACTAATTTCCTTATAACATGTTTTGCCAAAATCTTAACATTTGACATTCTGCTAGCTGGTTAACAGGATAACAGGAGTTTTTTTCCTGATAAAATTTGAGTGCTTTTGTCTAAATGTTGATATTGTTATTACAGCAATGAAAGCAGATAGAAAACGTTTAAAAGGAGAGAAGTTGGAATTGTTAAAACAGATTAAACAGTTGTATGAAACTCTGGAAGAAAAGGAGGCGGAATTGAGAGATTTTATCAGGAATTATGAACAGCGAGTTCATGAGAGTGATGATACAATAAAACAGGTGGGTAGAAATAAAATCTTTCAACTTGGGTTCTCACTAACACTACAGTGCAATAGCTCATCTCGTAGCAAGTTTTAGATTGTCGTCTGCTAGGATAGTGGAATAGCTCAGTCAGTAGGGAGTTGGTTTGTCGTCTGCTAGGAAAATGGAATAGCTCAGTCCATAGAGAGTTGGATTGTCGTCTGCTGCCAAGATGGATTGTCGTCTGCTACCGAGTTGAATTGTCGTCTGCTAGGACATTGGAAAATCTGATTGGAGAAGAGTTTTATACTTAATGACCAGACTGTGAATTAAATTATGACTCCATAGTTAAACTTCAAAAACTTTATGACATATTTTGTAAAATTTCAGCTTGTAACGGAGAAAGAAGAGTCAGAACGTGAGAAATGGGAGATAATTAAGAAAGCTAGAGATTCGGCAGAACGTGTGGTTATTCTACGAGCTCAACTCGACTCTAAAGAAACACAAATTAAAAAACTGGAAGCTGAACTAGTAGAGGTACGTAAACATCAACATTTACAATTATCACTATTGTTTTAGCTCTTAATGCCTTCTGTGGTGCCCAGAGGTTCTACAAAATAATGAAAAATACTTGTTTCTGCTCATTCTTTAATATTTTCTCTCTAAAAATTATCCATATGGTGCAGAAAAGTAGGATGTATAACTCCATTCATTTCACTATTAGATAATTGATGATATAATTGTTATAATTCTAGGCTAAAGAAACGGTAGGATGTACGAATAAATTAGAGAATATATCGGATCCTAATAATACTATTAATAGTATCGAGATATCAGCTCCAGTAGAAGATCTACCACCCTACGAGTCCCCTCCTCCGTCCTCAAACAACAATAACTTTACTAGTAAGTCTAATATTCTTTCCTTCCTAGAGTGATAATCTGTCTCTTTAATTGATCAGCATTTTAATAGTACATCTAGGGTATCGGGAAACCTTCAAACAAAAAATTATGTTTGCATTTTAAATGGTGCAAACGATATTCTCATTGTGAACCATGCTTGAAAGCGATTGGTGAATTTCCAATAATACAACAGTTTTTCTGACTGTCAAAATTGATTGCATTCATGATTGGATGGTTTTTGAAACTTCTGTCTTACATTCCAGTATCAACCAGTACGCCAAACACCGATAGAAAAGATTCCATAACGCCATTAATGAAATGGTTTAACACTAGTCATGAAAACTCACAACCAGACGTCAAATCTAAAAAGAAGAGAAAGAGTTTTGGTTCTTTATCTAGAGTATTCACTAGGGGGCGAACTAGGCGATCTATTGCCATGCCAGCCAGTGAAAGACTCGATTCTGATGGTAGGTTGACTTCTTTGAAAACTTTTAGGATGCCAAATCAAATGCAGAACAGTAATCTTGTGACCTTGAAAAAGTCATCTACACTCATGATTCAAGTTGACCCAGCTGTAAATGTGTAGGGATAATCCTGGGAAAGATCAATGCCAAGAAGTTTGGTTAAGGACTAGTTTGTAGACCTTAGTTACCTAGATTGTTTTCTTTGTAAAATAGGGTTGTGTTTTTCTTGCTTTTTATCTGTGTTTTAAGAAATGCTCTAAACTGTCAATTTCTCATTTCAGAATCTGGTCCGTGTCCCAAATTAACTCTACTGAGTCAAGAAAACTATCAAGAAAAACTGGGAATATTAGACCAAGTAAAGGGAGTTCACATGTCAACCTGGAAAGCCAATCATGTGCTAGCTTGGCTAGAAATAGCATTAAATATGCCCATGTATGGTAAAATGTGTGCTGAAAATATCAAGAGTGGCAAGGTAAGGTGTTATTTCATTCTTTAAACTCTTTGAACACTTGCATCTGTTAAAACGCCATGTAATAACTTGATTGGCTGGTGAAGCTGCTATTACTATGTGACATCACATGATATTAACGAAATATACTTTAAGACATGAAAATACCCAGACACCAGCAAAAATGGAAAATGTATGAATAGCTATAAGCATATGAAGTGTACCTCATTAAATTTCAACAAACTGTTTTGTTTTTTTATTGTAGGTATTATTGGGTTTGAGTGATTCTGAGTTAAACAATGCTTTAAACATCGTGAATATTTTACATCGTAGAAAATTACGTCTGGCTATAGAGGAACAGAGAGAACCAGTAGAAGTGTAAGTAGAACATGTCTTCTTTTGGTTATTTGTACAGTTTTTGATGTAGGGAGGGGAGGGATGATGAAAAAGCATCTTATCATTTGACTTTTACAATGAAAATAGCCACAGTATGCTACAGGCTGTAGATATCACTGTTCCCTTGAAAGTTGGATTACAAAAAGGCATTTAGTTTTTTTGAGCGGTCATTCACTTTTCTCAAAATTCCTATTTGAAATACCTCAATCTAATTAATTTTCTAATTTTAGGAAATTTCCCAAGGCAGATGCTGTAGATCACACATGGATTTCCCATAGATGGCTGCCAGATTTAGGACTGGAGCAATATACAGCTATATTTGAATCACATCTTATCGATGGACGGACGTTAAACACTCTTAATAAAAAAGACTTGGAGAAATATTTTGATATGCATCGGAAATGTCATCAAGCGAGTGTTTTACACGGAGTTGAGTTGTTACGGAGGTTAAGTTATGATAAGGAGGCGTTGACCGAAAGACGTAGTGTCTGTGAGGAATCGAACACCGACCCACTAGTGTGGACCAATAAACGTATTATTAAATGGATACAATCTATAGATTTAGGGGTAAGTTTTTAAAGTTTCTCATCATTGCACACTACCTGGCTTTGTCTGTTTTTGTTGCCTTATAATATCCAGTTGTCTATAGGTCTTATGCAAGTGATCAAGACTATGCTTTTTGATAAAATTTTGATCTCAAATAGACTCTGCAATTTTCCATCAGAGGATTATTATTTTCTTAAACTTTATGAAAAATATCAATTTTTATTAAAAAGAGAATTTGTATGTTTCAGGAATACAGTGAAAACCTAAAAGAAAGTGGTATCCATGGTGCTTTAATGGTATTAGAACCATCTTTTACTGGGGATACCCTAGCAACAGCCTTGGGAATTCCCCCATCTAAATCTTATATCCGTCGTCATCTGAACAGTGAATTAGAGTCCCTTATTAAACCAGCTAGGTAAGCTACGAAATATCTTTTTCATTAGCCTTGACTGATAGTATCCTTGCTAACTCATCAAATCTTTGCCCGACCATGCCTCGAACGCAATATATTGATGAGATATCGGCACAATATCTAGTTATAGCTCCTGTGAAGGGTTCGATGTCAAAAATTGAAACTGTATGTCATTGTCATTGTTAGGAACTTTCAAGTACATTGACATTTTGTAGAGTAGTAACCCACTAACTAAAATTTTAATCATCACTAATTAGTGAAGGTAATTAGTACTAATTCTAACTAATTTTCTTAACAGAGTATATCTAGCTGGAATGAATATATTAAGGTACAGGTCTAATCTATTAACAGTTAGTCTTATTTACTTTCGTTATAGTTATATTTATTTATTTATATGTGTATCAAAATATATGTATTTATTTTAAGTTTTCCTTATATTTATATGGATGTATGTTATTGGTCCTCCATTATTTTAACTTTATTTATGTGTAATATCTCAATTATTTTTCATTCAGTTTCATGCTTTCTTTTATTAATGGAAATCTATAAAACTATATTTAAATATATTTATGTACTATTTTTATTTACTTATGATTTATTTTAAGTTTTTCAGTTAATTTTTTATTATATGTGTAGTAAACTTTTGGAAGAAACCTGGTTGTGTAGTCTTATGATTTATGACAGATTGAAATGAAAAGGCTGCAGTCTATTGAAGCTTACAGAGAAATAGGAAAGAGGAAACTGATTTTAAAAAATCATGGCTTAGAATTTTAATACAGAATGATTTATTTTTAAACTTTGAATAATTTTTTTGTTTATTTTTTCAGAGCTGCCTTAGATACCCCTAATAATAACAGTAAGAAAACAGACAATGGTTCAGCTAATAAATCCTTAAATAGATCATATCGTAGTACATCATCTAACGAAGAAACATCTCGTAGTCGACTTAGTTTTCGGGTAGGTTGACAAATATTCTATTTATTACTCTCGAGAGATTTTAATAGTGTGAACTTGATTTTATTATTTCTAATAGGCCACATTTCATCTCGATAGATCATGAAAATGGTTTACCTTGGCTCATGTTAAAAAAATATGTATTGCATGGATAACTGTGGTTCTTGCAATTCTTCTTAAACTAAGCGTTTTATGATGTTGATTTTTGCGAAAGCTACAAATAATAATAGCTGTGAAGAAAATTTCAATTTTTACAGATTTTTTTTGTTTTTTTTACTTTCAGGGATCCCTCAGTCGTGCTTTTGGTAAAAAATTCAAAGACGATTTGAAACTAGCTTTCGACGACACACCAAAACGTAAAATATCAGCACCGATTCAAATTCAGCATCATTCGTTAGACTCTGTGGCAGAACCAATAGATTTGGCGCCAGCCTGAAAACAGAAAGTTCCGATATAGTAATGGAAATGTAACAATGGATTAGTCAGGGTTGTGAAAGATTTGATAAAAGAAGAAAAGTGCTAGTGGATATTTTTGGATTTTGCCAACTATGTTGTAACAGGGTTGTGCTGTTTGGAGAAATCTAGTAGCCGATTTGGAAAGTAGTGGCTGAAAGTGGTAGTTTTGATCTTCTTGAAATTGATGGTGCCTTTAGAACCTATATATTTCTTACAAGTGATTTAGTGTCTCCAGCAAATTCTAAATTTCCAGTGTGAATTTTGTAGCAAAATGAATATGTTACATCCAATCAGAACTTTTGAATCTTTTTAAAAAAATCTGAGGAAAAATAGCTAAATCAGAATAGCGTATGAAAGAGTGTATTGGCGAAAAATTTCATATCTATCTAAGAAAATTTTCATGAGATCTGTTTACTGTTAGAGTCATCCTGTTGGTTCCTAAGTTAGAAATAATGTAACAGTCTTTTATTTCCACACCCCTGCATTCTTAATTAAACTCATCCACTCATGCATACCTTCTATCAATATTGTACAATGTTATGTATGTTGAGTTCATTTGCAGAATCAGGGGTGTTTTTAGATGTCTGTTAAAACATTTCTAGTCTTGTTAGAAATTTATTCCATCCTTATTAGTGTTTAGAACTTGTTTTGAAGCATGATAGTCCTAGAATAGAAGAGATAGGATGCTGTTTCGTATTTCGATGTATCCTGAATTAGGTACTGGGTTGATCATTTTAAACTGTGACAATTTGTCGTGAAATAAATGTTGTGAGATGAAGCTTACTACTTGAAGCTTACTACTTGAAGCTTACTACTTGAAGCTTACTAATTCACTTTGATGTTGCTGAATTCCATTTATAGTTTTGATAATGCCTAGAAATCTGAAATAAAAAACAGCTTTCAAAGTAACAAAAGATTATTTCAGGTTTAAGAAAATGGGTTTGAACTACTAAATGATTAGAATCTTGTCACAGTTTAGAATTGTTCATCATGACACAAATAAAGCATCCTATTTCTAGATGTTGGTAGATTTTTAGACAATCTCCTCATGTTATATTCTACTTGGTGTCTGCACTAGATCTAGATCTAACTTTAGAGTGTATCACTCCCATCTCTTCATGTTATATTCTAGTTGGTGTCTGCACTAGATCTAGATCTAACTTTAGAGTGTATCACTCCCATCTCTTCATGTTATATTCTAGTTGGTGTCTGCACTAGATCTAGATCTAACTTTAGAGTGTATCACTCCCATCTCTTCATGTTATATTCTAGTTGGTGTCTGCACTAGATCTAGATCTACACAAGAGTATATCACTCCCATCCATTTAACACCCTATCTCCACTGTATTTTAGTATTTTATTTCGATGGGCTGAATGTTAGACAGGTGTATCATCCTACATTCTAACTTGAACTAGACCTAGACTTTAAACCCTCACACTGGTTACCCTACCATTATCTAGTGAGAGTTTAATTTTTATCTTATCTACACTACACTATTCAATTATTCAGTGATATGTTTTTGTATTGTATTGTAACAGTATTTCTTAGTTTAATCAGGGTCATATCATATACTTGTATCACCGTTTTATATTGTTCATTAACCAATATGATAGGCTACAGGGTGTGAGAGATAGGTTGACAAGAAGAATTTATATTTCATTTCATCAGCCTGGCCATATATTCTCGAAACAATCTTAGAGCTAGGATATCCGAGAACAGTATTAGAAGTTAAGACATTAGGACATCCAAGTGCCATGATCATTTCGAGAATACATGGCCTGGTTGTTGTTTCTTAAAAAAATCTTATGAATATTTTAACCTAAGACAAATTCCCATTTGATTTCATCAGAATTTAGTTTTTATTTTATTAATTCATCAACAATAAGCGAACCTTTACAATTGTCAAATTCAAACTAAAAGAGGGTCCCAATTATGTAAATATATATATTTTTAATTTGTGTGTATATTTGCGAATATGAGGCACAGTATTTTTACCCTACAAACAGCCAATGAAATAAAGATTAAGTGTGCAATATTTTTCGAACCACCACTATTATTTTATTATCAGTATATACTTTGATATTTTTAGTTTTTGTATATAAATCTAATTTATTGATAGCAAACTGCTCAAATTTCTAAATTTTAGTATGAAGGTGCTAAGAGACGAAGCACAGTGTAAGATTCAGGATTATAAACTAATAAAAAGGTTCTTCATATCTTATCATACGCCAAACTTTGATTATACAAACCTTCAGAGATAAAAATAAAAACTAGCTAAGGTATATAAACTCTCTGTTGAGTATTTTGTTGACATCATTGTTTGTCATCTAAAGACTAGTATTTTACAGAATCTGGTGATAGGGTTTTGAAGATATAAAAGGTAAAAAGTTTAACCCTTTCACCATTGGCATGGTGTCTACTGTAAACTAACTTTGCAGAACGTGTCAAACTTTAATTCTGCGTATACAACATTCTTATTATTCTGACACTTTGAGCAACTACGAACAGACACAGTGTATAGCTCAGTGTATATGACGCTAAATTCTCTGGCAATTAGTGTTCAAAGGGTTAAAACTATTGTTTTTCTAGTTTATTTCCTCACTTCATACACTGTTCATTGCACCATGGTTTAATTCTGTTCCAAATAAATTTACTGCTGGTCAAATTTCAGGTATTTTCTACGGCTTTAATTTCTCTACACTAGTCGAGAAATTATCTATAGGCACCTATTATCAAGTGTTCGTTAATTTGTCAACAGTAATGCCTGAGCATCGAACAATAACAATATTTTTCAGGTAACAACAGATCAAAGTCCTATCAATGTCCCAAAACTGTCACCCCAGACAACCTTCATGCAAATTTTTAAGATGTATATTTTATTTTTCTATGGTAAGTTGTGATTTTTATTAGGAGAAATATTGGTGTTTTTAGAAGATAATTTTAACTCTGTTTTTAATTGTTATATGTTTTAAAAAGGGTGTAAATAGTAGTTTATATTTGTATATATTGAAAGTAATTATATCTAAAATAAACACAAAACAAATGTATCTTGACTATCTCCTTCATTTTACAGAGGGTGGGGTCCTGCAAATATAATTGTGCACTTTAATGGACGATTCAAAACATAGCTTGAGGTAAAATAAAGAGTAGTCAAAACTGTCATGTTGTTTTCAATACTACTTCAACTACTTCATGATATAGTAGACTGTTCTTGTTTGAATCTTTCTCTGATATGCATAAATATATTTGCTTGAATATACCTCACAAGGGTAGGCTCATGTTATAAACCTTCATAGATGTACACAAATCTCTTCTTTCTACAGATGGGAAAATCTGAGAAAATATTATAGCACTGGGTCAGGGATATTGTTGAAGAATTTTCTTTGCATGTCTAAATGAAACAGAACCACAAATTAGTTTCAATTTTATTTCATTGTTTAGCATGAAGTTACATTTAATTTTGTGATTAAAGGGAGATAATCTGTTATTTTATTTTGATTATCTTCATTTGACCATACTTGATCCGGGACAAACTTCACAGTCTGAATTCATTCATAGAAAGTGTCTATTCTCACACAGAATTAGTTCTTGTTCCTGAGCTAAGCCTCATTCTGCACATATCAAATGTTTTAATAACACCCGAATTATTCAATGTTCACTTGCAAATAGTCTTTGAAAAATGTAATATTTTGAGAACATCATATTAATCAATACTTCACTGACCATACATTTTTTTACACATCAAATGTTTCACGAACGAATTGTTTCAATATAAATAATTTCAGCTGACCTCCATGTCTAGATTATAAGGTACTGTTTTATCGTGTTCATCTATTGATATATTGACTATATGATGTCCAGGTATCATTGCTAGTCCTAATATTCTCGGTTCCTCTTTCTCTTCACTTTCTACAAAAAGAAATATAAATATACCTAATATATTAATAATATACCTCAAACTAGTTAGAAACATCATGATTTAAAAAAATCTTCAACCCTATTGGAAAGTTAACCTAATTTCTTTAATAGTTGTTGTATCTTTAACACATGCAAGCAGCATGAGATGGGGTATCAATGACATTCTGTCAGATATATGTTAAAGAAAATGAAACAAGGTTTTTACTGTACCTGGAGGTTTTAAATATTCTTCACAGGATCCTAGAATGACATTTTTATCTCGGTCTGTACATAGAAATATTCCTGTAGTAAAATAACATAGCTTATATATCAAAAAACACACAAAATATCTTCAGTCCAAATATATAAGTTTGATTTTTTATTGCCCCTTATGATTGCAAAACTCCTAACCTTTGAATAAACTGTAGTGTTTTCTAAATATAACAAATGGTTTACAATGGTCATAGGCTTTCTGAATCTGATTTGAACAGATGTCCATTCTGCTATTGCAATAAATATGTTTGAACATGGGTTTGTAAAGATCATTAATAAACAGTGGGCAATGTAAATACTGCACCAACATTTTGTGGCTTGTGCCTAAATATCAAAACGTCTGTGACCAGGTAGGCCTACCTAAATTGATTTGGGTTCTTTCAATTCTTACCGATTAACGTTCTGCCATCTGTCATACAAATTTTCATTCTTTTATTCAACCATCTTTGTAACTTTTGTTTCCCTGTCACGGTTTCTTCAGTCTTTTGCTGCAAAGTTGAAATAAATTAAAAACTAGAACTGTTCTAATAACAGTACTGATGCAGGGCGTGTTTCGACATTCAGGTACATACGAAGATAGTCTATTGCAATTACATTGATGTAAATACTTTTCTGCATCTCTAAATGCAAATATCCAAAAGTGCCTGGAGTATATTGACTAGGAATAAAAGAATGTTTTTCAATTAATCAAGACCATGTTTGAAGAAACCCGGATTAGACATAAGAAATTTAATAATGCTCATGAGCACACAAAAAATATATTTCCATCGAATTTATAATTGGATTATACACATACCTAGCAAGATTGATTAAATTTGGATAAGAAATAAGAAAGTCGGTAATATGCATGCGCACAACAAAAATTCAATATTTTCATCAAATTTAGAATTGGATTATACACATATATACCAAGTTTGATGAAATTCTGACAAGAAATAAAAAAGTTAGTAATGCACATGCGCACAACAAAAATTCAACATCAAATTTAGAATTTGATTATACACATACATACCAAGTTTGATGAAATTCAGATAAAAAATGAGGAAGTTGGGAATGCGCATGCGCAAATCACAAATCGAATTTACAAGTATATACCAAGTTTGAAGATATTCGGACAAGAAATAAGAAAGTGGGTCAGTTAAGCTGTGGGCGTGGTTCTAGTGTGCTTCAGTAAGCTCAATTTGCTGAATGACACCTTTAAATCCACCCCAGAACTTCATTATATGCGAAAACTTGACATAGTTCATTTCTGATAGAAATTGGGGAGAATGGTACTTTAACGGACATGTCAAATTCAGGAATTTTATCTTTACTGACATCTCATTAACTAACATAAATTTGATACCACAATGTTAAACGAATAGAATTTTTAAATATGCATGTTACATAGACATGTTGTATATCACTGGAAAGATCAGAATCTCAGCATTATGAAATCTAAAGAATTACTGCTATATCTCTATAAGGCTACGAGATACAGCACTGCAAAGGTTCAAAATGGACCATTTTTAAACCCCTATAAAATCTGAAATAGTTGTCTGACCCCAAAGGTCAAAATGTCATCAGATATTCAAGGTCACAAATTATCATCATAGTAAATATGAAGGCCACCAGACGTCAAGGTCATGAGATACACGCCTTTAAACTTTGAAAAAAAATATCCGGTCGTACAAAAAATGCAAAACCGAAAATCAAAATTCTGTCCTCAACGAGTTTTAGATAAACGTTAATTCTATCATTTGACACCAAAATTGTTCAAATCGGATAATAAATAGCTCCAAAATAGCAAGGTCTGCATAATGAGGCAAACAAAGATGGCGACCTATATGTTACGTCCGGTACAAATTTTTTGAGTTGTAACACTTTGTATTAGTGACACTAAGCTTATGCATATGTCATTTCTGACATAACTCAATTTCACCGGAAGTGATGCCACCGGAAGTACTAATATCGAAAAACTGGAAGTGATGAACATTTTTTGACCATGCAGAATTATTTGCCCATACCGGCAATCTACAACATATAAATTTCAAATCGATCCGCCAAAAAGCAACCGAAATAGCATTTTTCGATTAATTTCGACAAAAAAAGTATCGAACGAATTTTAGAAAATCGAATATTTTCAACTGCTATCATATGTCCTTTGTACTAAGAATTATAATAAAGGAAACCCGAGCAAAATCGAACGATAAATAGGCTAAGCAATGAAGGAAATAGTACATGAAATAATAATTTGCAGAAAAACTAGTTTGATAATGTTGCCAAACTATGGGCAGATAAAACATTTGTCGAATGCTTTGGATAAAGTACATTATAAGCAAGACTTTATGCAGAGAAATGCGGCATTGTACAGCGCAGATCATTCAAAATTCACAAAAATTAGAAAATTTCAATCCAAACCTTAACTTCGGCAGCCATAATGGAAAATTAAATTTCAATACTTAATTAAACAAAACGAAACAAAACAATTTAAAATTTATCTCAAAAGCAAACCGAGAATAATTCAAATAGATATAATGTACAAAATTGAATATATTTGAATTAAACTTCTAAAATTCTAAACTTGAAAATTGTAATCAGGCGATGTAAAGAATCTAATTTCGTTTTCTATATAACGTGATTCAGACATTTACACGGAGCATTTCAATATCCGGTTTGCTTTGTTTACATTGACAACAACTGGGCTGTTTTATTTTTTCTGGCCGTTTTTTAATTGTGAATGTCTGGTCATTGAAAGAAGATGGGTAGGCCGAAATATTTTACCCCTAACGAAGTTTCTATACACAATACTATCGATGATATTTGGGTGTCGTTTTTGGGTAAAGTTTTTAACTTGACTCCACTCTGTGAAAAGTACAAAGGTGAGTTGATTGGTTGATTTTTTGATTGATGAATAATTAATAAAATGACCATATAATGGTCTGATTTCAATCCATATTTGTAAGCGCAGGTTTGTATTGAGGTATCAAAATATTTCCCTGTGATCATAGTCTTACCTAGCAGAATAATGAAACGTTACATGTATAATGAATTGGTGTACCGGTATTGAAATTCTGACCAGTAATTATATTTTTTATTCTGTTTATAGGTGATGTTTTATTGAAGCCTATTCTGTTATCTGCTGGTAAAGATATTTCTAACTGGTTTAATCCCAAAAATAAAGATGTAAGTCTGGTATTTCTTTCTTTGTTATATTCCTGATGACGGTGTGAGAACCACATTGAAACGTTGAAGTAATAAATATTCTAGAAGTATCTATCCATAAAATTGTCTTATTTATCTATAACTTGTGCTTCTAATTTGCCTTTGAAGATTATTTTTCTTCTTGTTCATGTGAAAGATTTCAGATTATTTTTTTTTCTTTTAAAGCACGTAATAATCAGTATAGAACATATCGCGTTATATTTTTTTTTCCAATAGAGAAAGCAACTCCATTATTTTGTTTTTAATATGCCAAGGTGAATTATCAGCTACAGTTTCTTTGTTATTATTATTTTATTCTTTATTTGGTGGCAATGTAACAATGACTTAAATTCAGAAAGTTCTAATTCTAAATTTGACTATATTTTAAATTTCAGATCCGAACACATGTTGATCCTCTTACAGGTTGTATAATACCCTATTGTCCTAACGGTAGATTTATACACATTCCCCCACCCTACCCCTCCTCCGACTGGGCCAATGATTTCGGTCGACCATGGTGGAAAGATGATTCTTATGTTGTGGGAATTTTATCCAAGAAAACCAGATTTATTAAAATAATCAACACTTTAACTTCACAAGATCAAGTTATAGAGGTAGGTGAAACTAAAATGAATAGAATGGAGTTTCACATCTTACATTCATGTATCTGATTGGGCTAATGAAGACGGGCAGTGCCTTACAGTGTGCAATGAGGAGAATTTTTTCGGGTGGAACTAATCCTTCAATGGCATACATTATTAGAAGCACAAGTTGTAGATATATGGACAATATTATGTATGAATGATTCTAGAATATTTACTACAAGAATTTATAAATATTGTAGACTGATCCATCAATATAATAGTCTTATTTATTTAAATATATGTTAATTTATAACATTTAAATGTTTTTTTTTAAGTTTTTTTTATTCCTGTTTCTATGAGAACAAGTTCTACTTGTCCAATTTCCATAGGGACACAAGTCATTTGTCTGAAGATCATATAGCATGAAACTGTTTCTGTTTTGACATTTCTATATTTGTTTTTTTTTTTCAGGTTTGTTCGGAAGAGAATATGTCTGAGATATTAGAACGTTATTTAAAATATAACCTTCACGCTGGAAGTTATACATGGAAATATGATGGTCGTAATTTAGATATGAATAAATCACTAGAAGAGAACAATATTCCAGATGAAGATGAAGATTTCTATAAACTCAGTATGAATGATGATACTTTCTTACAGGCAATACATCTTTATTTTAACGATGATTTAACTGAACAATAACTCCAGTAAAATTCAGAAACACTGAGAAGCACTGTCGGGGATAATCAGGAACTATTGGAAAACACTAAAACAGTAAAATTGCATTCACAATTAGCCACGTTTTGTGGGTTGTTTTTAATATAATGAGCTACTGAATTGAATGACAGATGAAACTTATTTTAGTATTTGTTAACAGAGACCAGGGGATTGAAAATTTGATAACAATTTTAATGGGGTCAATTCTCCTGTCATGTCAAAGAGAAAATATTTGTTTTTTCAGATCGGACATCTATTATTATATTTGTGTTGTATATACAAACAATATTTATAAATAAATCGGTTTAAAACGAAAGTTGTTCGTTAATTCCTATCTAATATAAAATATCCCATTTTACAATAGATTCTTTAAATCCAAGAGATTTTAAAGTTGGTGTTTCCATTAGATTTTTTCCTGGGGGCTAACAGGTTTGTACACAGCTTTCTACAACAGCAAAATACAAGTGCAAAATATGACTTAAAAAAAAACCATTTCATTTCAATAATTTATTCAGACATTAAAAACATAGAAACATAATAATCAGTCTTCATATACAAAGTTAATTTAGAATATATCATATATACAGGATTTTGTGTAGAATGACATATAACAATAGGATGAGATTGAACACAGCTTGTGAACTTTAGATGTTTGTTATCTAGAGCCAGAAAAACTATCCTATTTAATTAATTTGTTGGTTTAAAAGAATATTTTTGCTTATGGTAACTGATTAACAAGAAAATAGCTTTAATCACAAGGAGCATGATTTGTTATATAGTTCATAAATGGTACTAGACTACAAAAATAGTTTTAATGGCTCTAGTTGGATGACATCACCTAAAAATATATTCATCATTGATCTGTGTTGTCTCTCGGTGGATTTGAGCACTATACATGTAGGACAAGAATTATTGTTAAGACAACTCCCACCATTATTAAAAACGGTAACCAGGTCTTTAAAAAACCACAAAATCTGAAATAAACAAGTAAAATTGATTAGCAATGGTCCTGATCTATCATTTTTACTTAGTTTATTTATTAACGAAAAGTCTCACAAGTTGCTAATATAATATTATTCTTGTAAACAAATTCAAAAGAGGGTTTCTAGATATTTGTATGCGTATCAGACCAACCTAATGTCTGTGGTTCCTGCAAATTTAAAGAAATTTAGACATGACCCAAAACTTTTTAATCTGGTCAAGTTTTCTTACTAAAAAAAAGATTCAAAACTTACCCTGTGAATTTTCCATAAATGAGCATCATAAAACATAATTTTACCATATTCCATGATGTACTTGACCCATAATGCATCAGGTTTAAAGCCATGGCAACATGGGAATGACAATTATCACAGCAAAGATTGTGCTGAAAAAAAAGTTCACAAGATAATTTCAAAGATAGTGGACCACAGCCATATACGCCCACCACGGCATGCAGATGGTAAATGTTAAAGATTTTTGGGCAAGGGCAATAACTCTGCTTCTTACGGTCGAAAATAGCTCAAATTCGAACTTGATCTTCGTTTTTAGGAATATGTCTACACATACCTAATTTCATTTGATTACAAGCAAATGTTGATGGGCGGACGTACCGACGGACGGAGTGTTTACGAGCAATTGATGTTAATAGAAGCACTTACTGTATAGAGGCCTAAATCTTGTAAGAGCCTTAAATTTAATCAGAAGTAAACTAAACTTTCTCAAACCTTTCGATTTAGGTCCAATAACATCCATTTTAAGTTTCATCAAAATCGGTTGAAAACTAAGAGAGTAATAGCATATTCAAGATTTTGGGGCAAGGGCAATAACTCTGCTTCTAACAGTCGAAAATAGTTCAAATTGAAACTTTATCTTCGTTTTTTAACTCTAGTTTTTAGAGTGTTTACAAGCAAATGTTGACGGACGGGTGCTGACAATATACGTCCACATAGAGAGATGTGGGCGTATAAAAACAATATTCGTTTAAAATATAGCTGTATACACTTTCTCTATGTAGTAAGTGGTCAAATTCTGGGTTTTTATTTAGGCCCAATATCATTGGTTAGTTTTATTAGAGCCAATAAGAAGGGGGTATTGAATTTCCAAAGTAAACCTTACCATTCGTTTTTTATATTCTTCTGAAGCTTCATATACAGCTTTATCCCAGACCTCCCTTCCACCTTTTACTTTAAATAAATCTAACTGCCAATATCTTAAAAAATACAAAATAAACATGATAGCTTTAACTTTCAATAAATCTAGCTGCCAATATCTAAAATAGATACAAAATAAACATGATAGCTTTAAATTTAAATAAATCTAGCTGCCAATATCTTAAAAGATAGCTTGCCAGGCAAGGTAATGTACGCCCACTGGCAGCTTTGATTTTGAATAAAAATGTTTATCAGTACAGTAACAATCACCAGTAAGAAATATTTAATCTTTAGTCATGCACTTCTTTTGAACTCTTTAGGTTCAGTATGAGTTATTGCCCTTGTTCTTGAAAACGTGTTCAATTTTTAGCTTGTGAACACTCTAGAAGGCAAATATTCAATCTCCATTGCGGGACTGAATAAAAAAACCAAAAACAAAATCCAGCAATAATCATGCCTTTTAGTGTTTTAGAGCTAATTTGAAAGCGTTTTCAAGAACAAGGGCATTAATACTAAATATTTTTCGATTCTTCTGATTTTCAATAGGGTTCATCCTTGGGTGGTTACAAACATTCACACCAAGTTTCATCAAAATCTGTAAAGAATTATGCCTTCTAGAGTGTTAACGAGCTAAAAACTGAACGTGTTTTCAAGAACAAGGGCAATAACTCATACTAAACATTTTTCGATTTTTCTGATTTTCAATAGGGTTTATCATTGGTTGATAACAAACAGTCATGCCAAGTTTCGTCAAAATCCATCAAGAATTGTCCCTTGTAGAGTGATTACGAGCAGAAAATTGAACGCGTTTTCAAAAACAAGGGCTATAACTCATACTAAATATTTTTCGATTCAGCAGATTTTCAAAAGGGTTCATCCTTGGGTGATTACGAACACTCATGCCAAGTTTTGTTAAAATCCATCAAGAATTGTTCCTTCTAGAGTGTTTACGAGCTAAAAATTGAACGCGTTTTCAAGAACAAGGGCAATAACTCATACTAAATATTTTTCGATTCAGCAGATTTTCAAAAGGGTTCATCCTTGGGTGATTACGAACACTCATGCCAAGTTTTGTTAAAACCATCAAGAATTGTCCCTTCTAGAGTGTTTACGAGCTAAAAATTGAACGCATTATCAAGAACAAGGGCAATAACTTATACTAAATATTTTTCGGTTCTTCTGATTTTCAATAGGGTTCATCCTTGGGTGATTACGAACATTCATACCAAGTTTTGTCTAAATCCATCCAGAATTGTGTCTTGTAGAGTGTTTACGAGCAGTTGTGGACGGATGGACGGACGGACGGACGGACGGACGGACGGACGGACGGACGGACGGACGGACGGACGGACGGACGGACGGACGGACGGACGGACGGACGTACCGACGGATGGACATGGGTGACGGCATTTCATGTGGGCCTATAAAAATACAAAATACACATGATAGCTTTAAATTTTAAAAAATCTAACTGCCAATATTCAAAATAGCAGAACATGATAGCTTTAAAAGGTAGTGGACCACAGCCATATAGCCCACCATGGCATGCGGATGGTAAATATGCAAGGGCATTAACTCTGCTTCTAATGGTCGAAAATAGCTCAAATTTCAACTTGATCTTCGTTTCATGAATATGTATACACATACCAAATTTCATTTGATTCCATCAAAAAATCTAGTTTTTAGAGCCTTTACAAGCAAATGTTGACGGATGGACAGGGGTGCCCACAATATACGTCCACATAGAGAGATGTGGGCGTATAAAAATGTATTCAACCACAGTTCAGGTTAAACAAAATAAGTGAATTGTCTTTCAGATTTGTTTTGAGAAATTAGGCGTCAAATTACATGGAATCCAAGGAAATTTGTTGACCTCAATGCTCTAAGAAGGTGAAAGATGATGGATGCTTGCATTGCCTGATAAATGAATAAAATAAAATCAAATTTCTTACTTGGTTGGAATTCCAAATGACATATTATCCTCCTGTAAAAAAAAAAAAATTATTTAATAATTATTTCATTTGTGAAATATCGTTTTAACATCATGGTTCAGTTATTTAAGCTTTTTTCAACTGAATCATTGGCTGAAAGACCAGAGTAAAAAATCCCAAGATGTAAGAACCCTTCTTGTTCTAAGCTTTTAAATTCATCTTCACATTATTTTGTTCCTTGCCCTACTTGCACAATTTCAATTGTCCATGGAATTGACTGCAAATCTAATGTCAAGCACCCTAATTTTTTTTTTATTGTACATACGGTATCTTACTTACTGCAACATAGTATGGACCTCCAAAATCTCGGATAATTCCGGAAATAGTGGCTATACCCATGTGACCAATAAACGGTAAAAACCACCTACAATAAATACCGAAAAAATATATAATTTCATTTATAAAAACATCATTGTCAAAGATCATTTTTGACCCTTAGAAAGAACCATCTTTAACAGTCCATAGAAAATATGATTTTGTTTTAAAGCATCATTTTCCACATTTTTTTATCATACCAATGGAAAAGAACGGTTGTTTTTATGACTTTGAAGGACAATTTTGACAAAATATCAACTATCAGAGTATGCAAAAATTATTTGTGATTTTCAATCTAGGGCCTAGCACACAGGCATCTGTTTCTATCAATAATCGACTCTCTATATTATTATAGAGAGAGTCGACTATTATAGAGACAGATGCCTGTGGCCTAGCACTTGGCCTAATCTAACAGCAGGGAATTTTTATTAAATCGTGGCATTCATTCATTCGCCATTATAATTGTTTAATAGAAATGTATTGATTTATGAAATTTAATTAGAAAACGTGTTGAAACATGGCTACAAAATTATTTTTTATTGACTAAAATGGAATGGCTGACAAGTTGATGCTAGGCCTAGCCTTGTAGGTAACCAGGCACACACCTGTAACTGCAGTCCCATTTACAACAAACATCACTAAAAATTACCCCAAATTAAATCACCCAAACTCACGTTAAACAGGGAATGGGCGTCCACACGATACAATGAGGGTATCGGCTTCTATCGTGTTCGATTTGATAAGCATTATTGAAGCCATTTTCACCTCTCATGTTGACTGGATTAGACTCTGATTTCTCCGACATTGAATCGTTTCTATCAGAGCAGCCGTCCGCCATTTGTTTGACAGAACGGGACCAGTTATTATTGTTTACATAAAAATTTCAGAAAATATGATCAATTCGTTTGAATTATTTTGTGAAAATTAAGAAAATATTTTTTTCAAGGCAATTAATTTGTGTTTTTAGCTTATTTACCAAAGATTTTAAAAATTTAGCCAGAATTGTGGTTTTAAGTAATGAATTTAATAAACCGTCCATTAAGGTTTTCATCAAAATCTTGAAATGGTGGACTAAGCTTAGAAATTTACTGCGTGTTTTTCATCAAATTCTGTGCAGTTTGGACTTATTTCATTACTCATTTGTGTACTTCTGATCGTTCTCGACCTAGTGACCAAAAATATGCAAGAATTATTTGTGTAACTTTTTGTGAAATTCGAAATTTAAGGAATTCAAGTTGATAAGAAAAGGTCACGATTGAGACGGGATAATCCCGCGTTCATGGCGGCTTCTGATAATTGTAGATGGCAATTACGCCGTCTTGGGCCTTCAGCATCGTGTGCTAATGTCTGTGATCTTATGAGGTAAGCAAAAATGGCTTCTAAAAACATAATGCAATGGACGACATATTAAAACGTGACCTATATTCGTCCGTTCTCATTGGTAAACATTGACCTAGATTCTAAAAATAGCAGATCTGCCAGTGTAGTGCCACTTCTGTGTAGTAGTGATTAAATTTTTACTATGTTACTATCAAGGACAATTTTTATCGGGAATAAGTCAATGATACTCCACTATGTTCTACTATTCACAAATAGTTTAAATATGTCAAGAGTGGTCAAGGGTTTCTTCTACCTTTATTGACTTTCGTAGGATTAAGATGACATTTTGTTTCAAATCAATGTTTGATTTGGTTTGGGACGATACGAAAACGATCAGACGCAGAAAGCAGAAGTATTGATCTGACTGAAGTGATTGCCAGGACAACATAAGATCTTATAACTCTGGTGTGAATTACTGATTATAATTATTAATTCTAGAATAATTATTTTCTGCATTCCCATGGTTTCCACTTGACTGTTGCTATGTTGGACTGGGACATGTCTTGTCAATATTCAAAGAGCTATAACTAATATTCAAATCAGCCCCTGTCATTTTCAATGTTATTGTGTGATAAATGAGCGTGTATTATAACGAAGAAGAAGCAATTAAATAAGCACTGGCCAAGGTCACAAGAAAAATATTGAAATCACATCATCATCCAGCTTACAATCTTAAATAACCATAACACTGGTATATAATATTTTGGATAAGACAACATTCAAGAAATTTTGATGTAGTAAAAACCTTTGGAAATATATTTTGGCTTTTCAATAAAAACACAAAACTCTGTGACATGCAAATAACAAATTCCCAGGTGTGAATTTGATGTCACAGTGACATTGTTGATTTTATAATCCCAATTCTTCAATTCTTAAGAATATTATATAAAACTGTAAGCAAGAGCTCTTCAAATGGTTTAAGCATTGTTAAAGACCACAAAGCTGATTTGACAATAGGAGGACAATATAAATTGATAATTTGACTTCTGTTATTATCAATAATTCTACATTGTATCACTTTACATTCAAAATATTTATTCAAACTGAGTCACCAACAGTTAGAATAAGGAAGCCACAAATATACTTCCTTCTTTAGTATCCTCTATCATTTACCCCTTATTCTGTTTTCAAAATCATAATTAGAAAGCTATTACAACAATTATGCAAATTGGTTTTAGATTTAAATAAATAGCTGTATTTGGTTTTGCAATTCTTTACAGAAAGGAGCAAAATAAGTATTCAAATTGGTTTTGAATATTGATTTAACACCTTAATTCTGTTATATAAATAAAAATTACATTTTATGTCCTATCCTGCATCTTAACATTTATCAAATTATTACGAACTTTGTCTTACAATCAAATCAAATCCCTGCATCCTGTAATACAAGTTGAGAAAATTGCGTCTTACAGTCAAGGTATAAGACAACGTTCATAATACCTTGTTGTGAAGATATCTATACTCTAGCCAAAAAATTATAGTATGCTTGGTTTAGAAATTTAAAAAAAAGCCACCCATGATACATGATATATCCGGTCAGGTTGAATTTTATTTATATCCAATTTATGCTTTTTCTAGGTTAAAGAATGGAAACACTAGATTTGGAAGAAGTTTAGATAATGATTTTTATCTGGATTCTAAAACTCACAAGAACTTTATATCTCGGCACCATGCGGAGATTCGATACGTGAAAGTGAACGGAAAACCTCAGTTTGTTTTGTATGATCATGGATTAAATGGAACCTTTATTAACGATGTTCGGGTATGTAGATGTTTTGTCGCTCAGTCACACAATTATAACTTTACTATTACATCAACGTCACATTTTCCATTGAGCACTCGATGACTATATTGGATAAACAAGGCCATTTAATTCTTTAATTCTGTCACAAAATGATTGCAAAAATATATGTGGATGAGGAGCTAGTAATGTGTCTATCATCAAGAGCTATCAAATGTTTCATCAAATGTTACCTGTTCTCTGAATCAGTATTATCTACCCCCTCCTCATTTTTTACATCAAGAGCACCCCCATAATCTCAGTGATCCTGAAAAAGTTAAATTGTATTTTTCAGATGGAGAAATCGTGTGTTTTAAAAGAAGGAGATAAAATAACGTTTGGTCATACAAATGGTTTTAAAATAGACCCAGGACAGTATTCAAAACAACCCAATTCAGAATTTCAGTTCACGGTATTACTATCTTTCAATTTTTCAACAATTTTTCAATTTTTTAAAAAATGTAAATAGTGCCTTATTATTATCTATTAACTTCTTACAGAGGCTCATACACATACTAGAGAGCTTATAGTTCAAGTATGCTCCAGTCATTTATTTCCCAATGATATTATAATGCAGATTTTGAATATTAAATGCCCTAGAACATAAGATGCATAAAAATGTCTTGATCATTGATGATTCATTCAGGAAAAATACTGAATTTTGATAATTATTATTATCTTGGGATTGACTTATTTTTGTTAAAAATGTTAAATCTCTGGTTTTTTCTTTCAGTTTGAAAGACTAGAGGAGGATTCAGATGAATCTGATTCGAGTTCCGACGATTCTGGACCAGAATCAGATACAACACAACCAACTAACGAACATTTCTGTAGCCGGAATTTATACAACTCCCCGGAATACGACCGTAGTCAGTGTTGGCAACAAGGACAACAAGTGAACAAAAATAACCTTCGGAAAAGTGAAAGCGAGCTCGATAACAAAGATTTTACCAAAAGTGAGAAAGTGAATCCTCGTTCCCCGAGAGGAAAAAAGGGGCTGGAAATATGTGCTAATAAAGACAAGTTATTCAAAGGTGATCAAAGACAGAACGGAACGAATAATGTGAAAAATGAACATTTAGATCCACCAGTTCTTAAGAAACAAGCGACTTTAGGTTATTCTGATAGCGGGAATGACTCGTCGAGTGGTGATTCGAGTGACTCCGAGTCAACAGCCCCTAGTGAAAAAAGTGAGGAGAATTCTTCGTCGGAGTCAGAACATGAATTAACGATAGACATCAGTGTAAAGACAAAGGCCTCCCCCCGTCAAAAACGTACTGCCAGTGCTACTAGCAAGACGCGGAATGCTCAAACTTCGCAGAAAAAAACTAATGCTAAAAGATCACCTGTGAAAGCGAAAACTAAAACGAAAGTAGCTCGAGGGAGACCATCACAAAAAACTACTAGTAAAAGTAAAATAGCGAAAGACAATTCTAACAATCACAATACTATCAGTCCATCAAGACGGCTTCTTTTTAACAAAAAATCTACTGCCAATGGTAAAAAGTAAGTAGCACGTCTTGATTGTGTTTTTAAAACAAAGTAAGAAGGGATATAGTCACAGATAGAGATTGTTTTTTTGCTATCCATGACACTATTCAGATTGACAATTCTACACGTGGTTTGAGAGACTCGATTGTCATAACAATCTTATCTCACACAGAGTACCAGTACCGTTGAACTTCGTTTTACCTATTCCTGCCATAAACGGACATTGTAGCTGGTCAATCATGTCTAGTGAATAAAGGCAAATCAACAGCCCTGAGTGTCTTATTCTCTCTCTATTAAATTTAAACTGTTCATACTCACACTGTTGTTTCTAACAATAGTTTTAATCTTGAATTTTATTCAGTCTGCAGACAAGAAGAGAAATTTGTTGAACGTTTTAAATGAAAATAATGTAATTTTGTTGTCATTTCAGTAATTCACTTAAACCTGATAATTTAGGAGATCCTTATGACTTTAACAGTGAGGAAGAGATTGAAGGTAAGCTATGATTAGATTTTCAAATTTTATATCTAAATAAACTTTATGTCATTGTTAACTGGTACCGTAAGCTTATATGAGGAAGGCTTCAGAATTTTATTCTACTGTATAATGCCCACCCCTTCCTTACACCATCAAACTAGTCACTTGTAGGCTAGGGAGGGTCATGTTATCAGAGTTTATTTCAAGAGGTGAATCAACAGCACTCTTGTCAAAATATCTGTCATATCAGAGTACCTTTTGCTTGCTAAGGAAGATTATTGGTCACACTATTCATTCATTCTTGAAAGGTGAATGTAAGAGCACTTAAGTCAAAACTTAAGGACTTGTTAAAATCTAAGTAAAATTACCTTCCATAAGAATTATGAGTTCCAATTTGTTTCCTTTCGAAAAGTTATTATATTCTTGAAATATTGTGTTGTAGAGGATACATCAAAAGGAAAAAATGGAAATGCAAAAAAAGTATCAAATCCCAGCACCATTACCACGAAGGGTAGATATTTTAGACTCTTTCTTTAGATGTTGTGCCTTTAATTTAGATTTTTCTTGTAGCTTTTTATATCTTATTCGGCAATGAATAATGTCATCTTTTTTTATTATTTCAGCTTCACAAAATAAAAATAAAAAGACGACTGGAAAACAGACAAAGACAGCTGGAAATACCAAACGGAAAAAACCTCAAGGTTTGTAAAATTCTGTATTTTTCAAGGCTATATCAGTTTTATCTCGTAGCTATTGTGTTATTGCAAGAACATTCTTATACGCCCACATTATAATGTGGACATATATTGCTGTCTGTCCGTCTGCCCACAATTAGCTTGTGAACGCGATAGAGACTACAGTATTCATCTGTTTTGAATGAAATATGGTGTGATCATTTATATTGATGAGATCTTGAACAAGTTCGAATTTTGGCTATCTTTCGACGAATGGTTTTTGAGTTATTGGAAAACGCGTAAAAATTTGTTTGTGAACACAATAGAAAGTACAGTTTTCATCCGATTTAAATGAAATTTGGTTTGATCATTTATAATGATGAGATCTTAGTCAAGATAAAATTTGACAATTTTGCGATCAACGGAATTTGAGTTATTGCCCATGACTTAGTAAAAACTGCATCAAAATTGGTTATCGATAAAGGTGACAGTTTTATGTCAGAATTTTATTAAATAATGTGTTTGTTTAAATCAACAATATCTTAGATTAGATTTTTGGTATGATTTGACACAGACACTGCCCTTGATATTAGTGTTGAAACGGTTAAAAAGTTAACCGATTTCGGGTAGTATTTCACGGGTAACCGGGTCTGATTTGAGAAAATTTTATAAGAAGTAAAAAGAGAGCAATTTTAACAGAAAATTCTTTTTTCTTAGTAAACAAACATCTTTATTGATTGAATAATTGAGATTAATAAATCAAGATAGGGTATCAATTATCAAAACACTAACGAGTTGCGAGAATTGTGGTCAAGATTAACAAGTCTCTTTTTTGATATAAGTTCAACTAATTACCTCGTTCTTGATAATCGCTTCACGATGGTCTTAGTTTGTCGACAGTCGCCGTGTGCACCGTTATGTTAATTAGGTTAAACAAATAAGCACTGTAGCTCTGTAATCATTATCAGACGTTCAGCACGTGCCACGGTTCGTTGAATCTTGATATTATTATTATTGTATTGTGGAAATGTAACAGTGTTTTTTAAGCATGTTCTAGTGTTTTAATAAGTTTTGTTATTATTTTTATTATTTCAATCGGGTACGAGTTGCTTAGAATAAAACAGTTATAAAGAGATCATATTACTTTTTATTAACTCTCTCCTCTAATTGGCTGTTTGTTTATTCTTGCTTGTCAATCAGCTTCAAGCTTATTAATATTCATTGATACAATAGTTTTATACCAGTTGTGGAACCAGTACACTGATTCGTGGCGACTTCAATGAGATAAACTCAATAAACTGACCCCACAACTGGTATAAAAACCTTTGATCTGTTAGAGACTGCGATATCAGCATCCGCTGGAAGCGAACGTTACCTTGTCTTCTACCTACCTAGAGACTGTAGCAATGAGTTACAATGGCACCAGTCCATCTGAACTCTGACAGGCCCGCTCGTAATCTTACTTACATTGAAGCAGACACTTCAATGGGCTGTTTGGTATCTGGCGATTTGTACCGACAAACTAACCAAAATCTTCCTGGATACTCATTTACACTTACTCTAGTTTAGATAACGGTGAGTTAAGGCCGCAAATGCGGTTTTCGACTCCTTTTATAATCTTTAGTAATTAACCAGGTAAAAAACGGTTATTGCCGACGATACCCGGTTCGTAAAATTCACTAATTGTTTCAACACTATTTGATATACTGAAAATGTATCAGGAAAGTAGGCGTATCTTGCTAGCAACCACTTGTTTTCATATATAACAATAATAAAACCACATATGCCACATTCAAGTATTAGATGTTTTCGTGTTTAAGTAAAAGTTTTGAGTAAAAGATCTAAACCGAAATTTAGACTTTATGAAGAGAGGTTATGATGTTTTTTGCTAAAAAAGTATAGCAAAACAAACTAAAAATTGTGAAAACCAAGGATTTATTGTATGTTTAGAGTAACAAATTATGTATTTTAATTAATCAGGTAATAATAAGAATAAAAAAGCTAAAACAAGTACGACAGATGAAAGTGAAGAATATGGAGAAGAGATATGGTATTATGAAGGTGAAACTTGTGCTTCAGAAAGTTGTTTAAAACCTTCAGATAGCACAGTAGAATGGGTAGGTTATCAGATGTTTTATATACTTTCCTGTATAAAGTTGTCCAGGATATCATCATATCTTCAATCTTTACCTTGATTGTGATGTGGTTACCAGCTGTTTAGATGACAATCAAGCTCCACCCATTGCCAGGAGGAAAATAGGCATTTGCAGGCCAGTTGACAGAAATCTGCATTATTTTGTACAAATCAGTCTAGTGCTGATTTCCATATATGATATTTGATGTAGTTTGTATAGCACTTTTTGTATTATCCACCTTACCGAACTAATAATATTTTTTAACATTTTTTAATATTAATTTTCTTTCTTATGTCGTCAAGGCAGTTTATGTAAATCTACATTGTTAACTATTTGCCCATGTATTCAATTTTTGTTGTTGAGAGTTTACATTGTTATCTGTATGCCTATGTATTTAATTTGTAGTTTTAGAGGATCCACCTAACCCCCTCCCCTGTCTATTTCAGGTACAATGTGATGATTGTGACCAGTGGTACCATACAATGTGTGTAGGAGCTATTTATGCAGCAGTTAAAGACACCCAGATGGAGTTTCATTGTGGGTGTTGACAGGAACTCTTGAAACATTTAAATTAAAATGTGGACGTCACTCTTTAATAAAACTTGGCTGTACTCGGAAAAAAATGTAAAATTGTTGTCTACTGACAAGTTGCTTGTTGTAACTTTACAAAATTTAAACAAGACAGTGTTCAAAAAAAGTTTGTTGGTGTTCTGTAAATTTTTTAAATGAATGAATCATTCTGCTTTTAATTTACCAATTTTGACTCTCAATATTAACAACTATGGTATATTCAGTTAACATTTTAGCTAATTGAAAAAAGAAACAGAAAACAACTTTGTATCTATCCAAGCTTTGAGTGAATTAAAGGGTGACGCTGATATTAAATTGGTTGAGTCTGATAGAGATATTTTACTCATCGGGAGATAACTTCAAGCATAAATAATCCAGATAGGTAGAATATCTTTGGGAGACGAAATAGATCCTGGACACATACCGCGAGTGTTTTTTTATATTATTATTATTCATGTGTTATTTGTTACGTAGTTATGAGTAGATATTTCAATATAGAAACTATTACTGTACTCTGACAATCTTTCTTCAAAAATTTTACAATTTCAATTTGTAGTATGTCAAGAAAAAATGTACGTCAAAATTTTGTAAGATTTTTGAAGAAATGTTGTCATGGTTATTCACCAAGATTTATTATTATTATTATTTTCATAGATATATCATAGCTCTATCACACCATTTTCATTATCAAACCGTTTTTTTTATATTCAGTCATTACGGCAAGACATTTTTGTCAAGACGTTCATTTTCTGCTTTAACATGTCAGTACAGGATTTCTTCTTTTTAATTAAGGCATATTTGTTAGAATATTTACAGTTTATATTTCGTGTTGACTTGAAACTATGCAGGAGACAGTGTATTAAAATATATTACAGCAGGCATATACAGCTAAATCTTCATCTTCACAACGTCAAGCTCTTACTCTTGTATCACGTTATGTAGAGATTTGATTAAATTGTACAATACCAATTAGAGCCCTCGACAGAAAAACTATTAACATTATGGTGTATTGTTGACAGACTTTCTGTCGATAGCTCTGATTAGCTGTATTTGCTAACTTACAATCCAATCAAATCTCTGCAATTACAAACTTCTGAGATACAAGAATAGTGGCTATTGTAGTAAAGGTATAACACAAAGCTCATAATAGCTTGACATTGTTAAGTTGCCTGTAACATGATGAAAAGTTGTTAGATTGAGTATAGTCTATATACAATTTTAAGGCATATTATTCTAAAAACAATACAGTATATATTTGACTATATTTTAATATTGCGCAATACATAAATGTTTTATACAAGGCATCAATTTCCCTAAATATTGAACCAGTTCAGTTTCAATGTGTGCAATTATTTTATTATTACTTTTGTATTAGATATTTGCATAATGTCTTTTTGTATTCTGCTGTTTTTATTTTGCTAAGTAGATTTTTATGAAGAAATTAGCTACTATAAGTGGATCACTGTACAAACTGTAAAGAGCAAAAGTTTAAACTTTCTCTTTAAGAAACAGGAAAGTTCTTAACTTAGTTTTGTTGTGCCCTCACACTAGAGCTATTACCAGTTGTATATAGTTGTGAATAATGAAAGTGGTCATAAGTTCCGAACACAACTCAGTTACATGAGAAACTTATGATTGCCTCTCTGATTCCCAACTATACACAACTGGTGATGGCTATGGTGTGAGGGCCCCTCAACTTGTTTTAAAGAAAAAATTGAAGGCCATATCCCTTCATGAATAATGCCACTAATGCCAATTCAAAACCATGGTTTTTTTCATTTTTAAAATCGTTCACATCATCCGATTTCATTTATAATTTTATTTTTTGTAGAGTAATTTTTCTCTGCGGCGCTTTTCATCATCATCATCATAATTTAATTGAATAAACAAAAATTTACATTAAATTCAATTCGAATATAATACGATTAATTTTGAATCATGCATTTATGTTTGAAATCTAAAAAGAAAATGTTTAATCACTTTATTTCTATTCATATTTTAACTGCTACCAACATTAAAAAATACACTTTTAGAATAATTATTGAAATATTTTTACAGTTGAGATTTTTAAAAATCAGTAGCTGCATTTATGTAAATTCAGTGAATAGTTCAAGAAGAATTCTACAGGCAAACTTTGAAAAAATTGTCTTTGTTACCAACGGAAACCCTTTGTGTATTTCCCAACTTGTAAAAATTGTGAAAAAGGTCCATGAGACTCTAAAAATGTATTGAATCATGCTTGTTTTATTTGTGGATATATTAACTGTTTTTGATACAAATTTTAAAATCAGAGAATATGTAAGCACTTGCTCTCTAATTGTGTTTTGGCATTATTATTGTATGTGGTTTATTAACTTGTGAGCACTATTACAAGGCTTTAAGGCTTAAGATGTGCCAGTCTCATTTGACAACCATTCAAACTTTATTGAACTCTTCTTTCACACATTCAATGAACTGTTTTATTTAGACTAGCTCATTACTAAATTAGGGGTGTTTTATGCTTTTTTGATGCTGGATATTGTATATTAAGTTATAAAACACCCCTGAATGTAAATATAGACTATTGTAGTTCTATGATTTAACTCTTGTTCTTGTGAAAAATCAATACAAAAATGATCCTTGTCTGAAAGTTTCAATAAAGTAAAGAAATACAAGGTTTGTACAATTTTTGACTGGTACTACATACAAGATTAAACCCTTGCACCTTTCTTACAATTATTGAAAGATGGGTTGCCACTTTTTTCTATTTTGGATCAAATTTAGTCATGACTATTTTCAAACAAAGATTGCTAAAAGCTTAATTTGTATCAAACCTAAATTGAATATAACTTTAGACAAACTTACATTTTGATGCCATCCTTGAGCTGTTGATGTCATGCAAATTTTTTAACAATACTGCCGTCTGTTTTCTCCAAGACCAGCTTCGAGAAAAATTGGCAGCCCATCTTTGAAAGAAACATTGCCCCATTTTCTGTGTGAAATTCAATGCTTTAAGTACATTGTAGAATTTCTTAGCAACTGTAACTATGAAGCCACGATTCAATGACGTCACACACAAACTGTAAAAACAGTGACCTAACTCTGGTACTCTGTTAGCCCCATCTCTCTTGTGTTAAACATGAAATTTTTTATAATTTTGTAATTGAAGTAAAAGTAGTTGATTATGAATCTAAACATCTGTCATTGCATGTTGTTTGTATTATTCTCTTTGACTGTATATTTTGAATTTGGCCTGATACTTTTATTCAATTCATATACTACTGTCATTTTATCAAATAACTTGCGGCAGAATAAGCATTTTCAATTCATAGCATACAAGTTTATATTCTTACTCACCTTGCATTCGAAAATTCTTTTATTTAACAAATTTCAGAGATAATTATTTCATGGATAAAATTTGTGCATACTAAAGTATCTTGTAAAGAAAATAAAGCATATACCATATATTACAAATATCATCTTGATTGGTGGAAAGGTTTCATGGATACATGGCTAGAATGGATAGAACTCTTTCAAAAATTCCACATCTTGATTATCGTACACTGCTGTTTTCTCAATTTGTAACGTGCTGTACTTGGCTGAACAGTTTCATAGAGCTGGATAAAACATTCGCGAAATTTCTGAAACTTGATTATCACTATTGTGTTTCATTAATTCGTTACGTTTTGTCATTTATTTTGCGCTGTGTCTATCATTTATTCCGTTTTGTGTCAGGCCGAATTCAGACTATTATATTATACTATGTATGTGTGAAGTACTTACTTAATCTTATATCACAACTACTGTTTGTGGTGAAACTATTTCCTACCAACTATTTCAATATTATTAATCTTATTCCTTGACGTTCATAGATTACACTTTAACTGTTTTACGTATATTGTTGATTAAAAATGTTAAATACCTAAAATTTATTCTGCTTCTTGAAAGGGGCAGTCTATACTTGCCAACTCTTCCCTCTATCCTTTAAACTGTTATTGTCATTGTCATTCAGTCTGACTTCACAAGTGACATCCAGCCTTTCCTTTAGAATCAGATTGCTCTTGGAATTTACTGGAACTTAAGTATGAATACGCTTAAAGGGCAAAAAGAGTAAAGCCATTGTTGGAGGGCAAGGCAATAAGTTATTTGTGCATAGATGGCTGACAGCACTGATTTGTTTCTACCAGTTAAATTGAATCTCTTATTGTAAGAATGGAGACACGTTTATGTTCTCAAAAATATCAAAACAATGATGAGGGCCAGTTCTTTAATCTAAATTTGTTAGTTTCAGCTTAAGAGGAATGATGATGCAATTTTGATTATTTAACTGTAGTCTAGCATCGGGTAGTATTGACTGAGTTATCTTTTCTTGTTGCTAAGTCTCATCTTTAGGAGTCAATAAAGATCTGTGTATGTCATTCCGTCCCTTTTACCTCTTCGGACAAATCAATAATGAAAAATTCAGAAATCATAAAAGTAAAATGTTTTTGAAACTTCAAGGCCTTTGTAAATGTTAAAAAATGTTTTAGAGTCGTGGAAAAACCAATTTAATAATCGGGATGAAATGACGCATGGCGGTTTTGTGTCTAAGTATGCAATGTGACAATCAAGACTCAAGGAGGGGAAGTAAATCATTACAAGTTCTTTCCCTTAGACCATAAGGACTCACTCCACTAATTCATTTGCCATCTCTTCCCATGTTAAAACACGAAATTCAACCTTTTTCCCGAAATCTCGCCTGACCAATTCTCAAGTCAATGTCTCCTAAAAAATTCATTATATGATGACCGTGAAAATTTGGAGCTACCAAATTCCAAATCTAGACCAAATTTTACCCAAAAATAGGCATGCAAAAATCCCTAAAGGGAGAGAGAAAGAAGATTTCTAAAAACAGCCTGGACTACATTGCATAAAATATTTTAGTGCCTAGTGGAGTCCATAAATTTTTAAGAACGAGACCATTTGACAATCAAGACTATGTACTTTGCTGAAGCGAGTTCCCTCCCTTAGACCGTGAGCTCATCACATGTTTCCATGGAATAGAATTCAAAAAGAATTTCCTTTGAAGGTACGAAGTATTTTACACTGATTTATGTCTTTTTTTTCGTTAAGAAAAAATATTTTTACTACTTGATTTATCAAACATGAGTCGTGAATTCAAATGAAAATGCTTAATTTAAGTGAAAACAATTCGAGGCGAGGCAGACGTGTTTCCAACGTAAAGTAACAAACATGGCCGACGTAAGTTTAGAAATGTCAACTACATAATATAAGGCCAATTTGATGAAATGTATGAACTTAAATCCATTCCTTATAAATTTTTGTGTTTATTTTCGACGGTATGTTTGATGTTTGTCTCCATTGCTTCAATTTTAGAACTGAGAGATGGCACTTCGAAAAAGTTTACTTTGAACATTGTGAAATTAAACCTGGACACCCCCACTGCTCTCTTTGAAATAAAACTTATTAAAAGAAAAACTGTGCTTTGGTCCTAGTTCTTCTTAGCCCAATTTTGTCGGTGAGTGGGCTAAAATAGTTCTCTAATTCTAATAGTTTATCTGCGCTAGATTTAATTTGATTTTTTCTTGGCCAAGGATGATAACTTTGCTATATGAAAACATAGTGACTTCATAATCTGGTCCTGTCATCTGAAATTACAGAACATTGTCGGGAAATTTTATACTATAGCTTTCCTAGAAACCATTTGTAGGCTATAATCTTTAGAAAATAGAGGTCAAAACAAACAAACTATTTAATATTTTAATTAATCAAATATCTTTAAACAAATTCCTGAATATAATTCTATAGATAAAACTATGAAAATCACAGTAAATATTTACCACCGATAAAACATATACATATCTTAACACATCTTAATTAATGTAGGTTTCATTAATAGCCCTATAAGGTGCAGAAAAGAAGGGTTTCAAAAAATTCTAGAATTAGCTTAAAAGTTTAAATTCAAAAATATTTCTACAAAAATTTGAAATATAGCTCTAATTCTAATTCAAACTTTTTATATTTCAGATTTATTTGGCACCAACATCATGTTCAGTTTGAAGTCTAAAGAAAGAGATAAAGATCAAAATCGAATGAAGGTCAAGAAAAAGAATGGATCAAAATTATTCAAGCACGTTCCCTCAGCTCAAAATTTTATTCCTTGAAGCGAAAATTGAAGAAAATATCAAGAAATGGTTAATAGAGCTAGGTGAGCATTTAATTTTTTAAAATATACTTTTGGAAAACTGTATATATAAGACTCATCACTTCAGAACATTACCTGTATGTGTGATGAAACGTTGTGTTCAAAAGGAATAAATAGAAGTTTATATCCATAACAATTGTTGTCTCTTAATGTGCAGTGATACTTCTACATGTCTTACAGCATTTCTTAAAAAACTTAATTTAAAGAAAGGTAAGCTTATGTCTCTAGCTTATATCATGAAAGTCAATTTTAAATTTGTTGTATACCGGTACACATAAAAAATAAACTATTTAGCAAGTATATAAAAGGGTAAAAGGATGGAATGCAACTTTTGGACGGAAACACAATAAATAATAAATAAATAAATACAAAACTAAAAAGAGCACTTTTTACAACAACTCTGATCATCTTGGCAACAAAAAAATTAAAATGTAAGAAATTAATTAAAATTTGCTTTGATCCAGTGACAAGATTTCTGAGAATTATTCAATGACATTTTGGTTATGAAATATTTGATCGAAGCAGTTAATAACCTCATGTAAGGGCAAATGGACTGAGGCTCAAATCTAGAGAAAACTGACCAATGCCCATCAAAAAATACATTTAAATTCATTCATGACTAAGATGATCATTTAACTAAAAAAAAGCAAAAATAACTTTGCAAAAAATAAATAAATAATAATAATTGGAATAAAAAATAGAAAATAATTCTTACACCCCTAAATCTTTCTTGAACTCTTCCTCACATGGTTTTTCAATAATAAGAGGACATAGAAGGGTTCTTGTGAAAATGTAGGGGTGTTTTGATGTAAAATTATTTTCATTCCTGACATGTATATCACAGTTATAATATTTCTATTAACAATAGTTTTATTTCATAACACAAAAAGAAAACATGTAGACACATATGTTTTACCAACTAATAGAGCTCAATACATTTTCATTTAATCACAGATGAACCTCAAGTCAGATTCTCATTATGAGAATGTTATGGATAGCTGAAATTGAGCTCAATCTGATGGTAAAACAAATATTTCTTTGACTATATCATTCTTATGGCTAGTTTGTCAAAACATAATTTGTCTTGTACTTGTTACAAAGTGATTGTCAATTTTGTTGTAAATTCACTTTTAAAAAAAACGGACGGAATGATTAAAACCTGAGCTCTTTCGCTAATCAATTCATGTCCAGCATCCAAAATCTTATAATTGTTAATTTTTAGTTCAAATCACGAGTCATTTTCATTTCACTTGTCATAAATCATTTATAAATCTTATTTTTTGTAACTTGTTTCTATTTTTTTTTGGAACAAATCTTGAGCCAAATCAATCAATCAATCACACCATTAATAATAATTACAGTCTTTAATAATTATAAAAGATAAAACTATATCTCACTAATTCAACAATTCATTAAATAACAGACATTTAATGTTCAAGATTGAAATTTTCCTTAAAAATAATTTGAGATTCCACTGTACACTGGTTTAACACTACAAAAAATTCAATTTCATATTTTTTATTCTTGCTCCAGAACTACGAACTGACACCATTAAGCATTTGTCCTGATGATGAACATGTCAATTTGATTCCAATACCTCAACAATGGCAGCCAGCATCTTCAAATAAGAGTCACTAACTCAGACAAAATCTGGGGATAATTTTGTTCCACACTTAGCGTGGGCAATGTCAAGGTTTTGTCTCCATTGGGAACGGTAATCACTTGTAACGAGGTCACGCCCCCAACTCCACTCTTACTGTTTTCTAGCGACAACTGAGGAAAAAGTTTATTCGTCACAGCATCAACGATATACGGGTCATTCCCTGATAACAAACCTTTCATATGACTCTTACCACGAAGAACTGGTTTCGGATTTCTGATTCTGAAAGAAAGAATTGAATAATTATGATACAAAAACAAATTGGATTATTTTTCTTGAATCGCAACATATTATGACAATGAGAACACATTTTGTGAAAATTTCATGTTAGTGCAAATGACCTAGTATTTGCAGCTACAATTTGATTGCTGTATGCAGCTCGAGGACACAAACTCTCATAAAAGTTAGAAAAAATGTTATAACTAACCTCTGTCTTTTACTTGATTTTGGTTTCTTCTCCTCATTGATTCCTTCAAATAAACGAAACAGTAGCTCTGTATCTGCTACAGAAACTTGTTGTTCTCTTAACCTGTTTGGTTTCTTACTGACATCTTTATCAACATTGTCATCAGTCGGTGTGACTGGACGAACTTCTACAATAAATTCATTTCACAACAATAATGGATGATGACTAATCATTGATCATTTGTTAAGATGGCTTGTTATAGACTATACTCTATACAGTCCTGGAAGAGTGGTAATGCCTTGGCTTGGGTAGGAAAGGAAATGATATTTGGCAGTATTCTGTTTTATGGGTATGCCCTGCCAGACAGTAACCATGGGCATGCCCTGCTAGACAGTAAGTATGGGCATGCCCTGCTAGACAGTAACCATGGGTATGTCCTACCAGACAGTAAACAACGGCATGCCCTGCCAGACAGAATAAAAGATTATAGATCTAAAGGCAGTTTCTATTCTGTTCTGAAAGAATGAGTTTTTCCTGCTATACAGTAAGAAAGGTCATTGACCTGTATGCTGTATACTATAACAAATTATTGATCAAATGATATTGATTGTCTCACTGATTAAAAATATATACATGTAAACATCACAATCTTTATATATACACAATCTCTACTAGACCTTAAACAGTAACGATGGCTCAGTGAGTTCGAAACTAGCTTGTTGATCTGAAGATCTGAGTGGGATCCTTCAAGAAGAACCCTGATGTATTTTTTTGCTGTTGAAAAAAGGCTTTTGAATGTAATTCAGACCTTTTTCTTAAATTAGATTTTGCCTCCTATTAAGACTAGTTGCACACTGCATGGCATTACAGTCCTGACAAAATTTCCCTCATTGCACACAATTGACCAAAGTATTTACCTGTGACATCTTCACCTGTATCTTTAATAGATAACGGGGGTAAAACACGGAAAATATTCCCTGGGGATACTTGGTGGGGCTGATTTGGTTGTTGCCAGAATGATTGGGGTAATGCCCTCAACTTCATTGGCAATGGTTCTGAAAAATGAAAATATGTCTTCATTGGTAATTCTTCTTTATACAGATTAAACAGATGTCTTTCAAATTTCTAGGCACTAGGCTTTTTTCAGAAAATCTTTTAAAAATTTTATGCTTAGTCACATAATTCAGTTCGAAAAGGGTATAAATTGTGTATGCGTATATAATATCTATTGAATAACAAATCAAGTGTGAGATATTAACTCGGGCCAATATTGTGTGATATTGTATAGTATATAATAATAACAACTAGGGTATATGAGGTAAGTATATCATAGTTCACGGTTATTAATCCTTTTATCAGTGCATTAGCATGTAACTTAATCTGATAATCTCATTATAATGAGGTAATAATTATTTATACTCATAAATTAAATGTCATAAACACTCTAGATTTAAATTGTATTTGTCCCTGTGAAATTTCCCTCATTGCTCATTGTGTAGCATTGCCCATCTTCTTTACAAAATTTATTTTCATGATGTATTGCTAGATGATGTAATTAGCCCAATGAGGTGCAGAAAAGTTGGATTTAAAACTCCACAATTATTTCATTTTAAATGGGATTTGTCCTTTCGAAATTTTCTAAAATGCACACTGCATAGTGTTGCCCATCTTCATTAGCCCAAATTAGTTGCAGAAAAGTAGGATGTAAAACTCCATACATTTTTTTCTAAATGTTGTTTACGTCATTGCACAAAATTTTTCAAATTACTATAAGTGTTATGTTACATACCTCTCTTTGGTTTAACTTTAGGCGGTGTTGGTTCACGTTTTCGCAAACTTTCTCGATGAGCGAATAATGCTGATGTTTTCTTCTTTTTAATTTTTACGCTGGATGACAGAATTTCTTGTGCATGATGTTCAAAACCTGGTGGACGGACGTAGGTTGGACCACTGGCTGTGCTGCTACATGGAGACGCGATATTTTCATAATCGTGATCATGCTCAGTCGCGTAACTGGAGGAGGTGGCTGGACTCAGTGAATCGCTTCTGGAGGCCGGGCTTATATTAGAATCTGTCGGAGAACTTAGATTCGTTAGAACTGTCAATGCCTCGCTCCGTGGACTTCTGTTACTAAAGTTTTGAAATTTATTTCCTTTCGAGTCCAATGGTAATCCAGATTTTAACGTATTCAAATCCAAATTGATCCGAGGGCTTGGAATTTTTTCCATAGAAACATTGTGTTCATTTTCATCTTCCTCGCTTTCACTGGAGCTAGAAATCACTAAAGGGCACGATGGCGCTCGTTTGCCGCCTGTAAGTTTCGGCCATGTTGGTGGCCTGGGTTCGAAAGTTTGTGACATGTTTAGTCTTGATCACACAGTTCCATTTGAGACTTGATTAATCCAGTTAACACTTTACATAATCCAAACTAGGAAAACTTGTTCTTGATGATAAAATCTTATGTTGTTTATATGCACACAATGGGTCAAAATGTTGCTTTGAATTTACAATTCTGAAATTGAAATAAAAAATAGTCAGATTCTAAACTTTGCACAAAGAAAGTAGAAGATTAATTCTGCTAACATTTTACAGAGTAAATAGCTAGATAGTGATTTTACTAGGTTTTGTATTTGCTACAGGTTTGAATCCCATATCCTCTTGATACCTCAGCCAATGCCTTCAAGGATGTCTTCCACTAGGTGGACTCCCAATCCAACCCTTTTTCACAAGCCCTCATATAATAATGTACGGTGGGGATAATATCAATTGACCCTCACTGGCAAATTAAAAAAAAAAATATGGATATATTTTCATTTGTAAAGTAGCCCTTCGCCTTGCAAGATGAATAAATTCACACCCCCTCCCCCCCCCTCTCTCTCTCTCTCTCTCTCTCTCTCTCTCTCTCTCTCTCTCTCTCTCTCTTTTTATGTATCCATAGTCAATTAATTTAATTACATAATTCACTGACCGATACTGATTGCAAAATGAATGACCATGCTATATTTTGATTTCTTGGTACCGGTAGTGAATATAAAATGTCACCGCCTTTACGGTTTCCCCCACCCCCCTTTCTTTTTTTTCATAACATATTCATCATTGTTAGTTGCAAAGAGAAAGATTTAAATCTCACCGGAAAAATTAGTCATCAAAACAAAAAAAAAATCCAGTTTCCAGAGTAGAGATATTAACAACGACGGAGTTTAGTTGTATTGTTTACTATGTTGGTACAACAACTCATCGCTAGGCAGGCCTAAACTTGATAATACACAATATTTAATTGGATAGAAGCCATTACGATTGGCTTAGTCAAGTCTATTTTTAGTTACGATAGCGTAGTCAGATTATCCAGTCTTTTCTACTGTTCAATGTGTATAGCTGATTAGATAATCAAGACTATCTTTACAGTATAATTCATTACTTTCATTTTGTTAACTGTCAAAACTGTGTGCCCGGTTTGAAGGCAAACAGGACAAAATCCTCTAGTTTTAAGCTGCAAATCCCAGAGAAAATATCTGAAAGGAAATGACTTTCATGACACGTCATACCGAAGGACTGTTGCGATGGGGCCCAGGCAAATCCTAATTTCTCATAATAATACCCCCTTTGGCTATGGGCCTGATGCTGCAACTGTCGGGTGAAAAAATGGTGTTAATTGAGATCAGTCGTATCTTCAAAACGTTTGAAAATATGACATACTTCGAGTTATGATTTAGGCTTAAATATTTACAGATAAAAAGAGATCCTATAATTTTAATAAAACCGGGCAAAATGTCAATCAAATACAACCATTATTTTTCCCGCTTTTTCCACCGGAGATGACGTAATTATGACGTTGTGCTAAATGTTTTCGAAGGCGCGAATTTGAACCTTTCTGTCCCGTTCTTTTTGTGTTTGGAGAGAAGGCTCTCATGAGAGCAAATAAGTAAAACGAGATTTAGTATGGTTTGGGGGACTCTCTCATTGTTTGTCCTCGCCGGTAAGAACAAATTTTGGTTTAAGATTTTCTTTCTGTCTCCCTCACAGACGTTTTTCACTCAGCGCAATTCTTCCACGATTGTCGTTTATAAAGTTCTCTGTGTACGTCTGCATCTTGTAGTAGCCCACTTATCGCTATCCTGGATATGTACACTGTACAACGTTTAGTCTTATATTTCAAGAAATTTGCCTAGGGCCAAAGTAGGCAAGTTATCCCAATCTTTTCCTTCCTTCCCCTTTTACGACTGCGCACCGAACCGGCGAATGGCAAAGCGGTTTGTAGTTGTAACCTTGACCCAATTTTAGGCTAGACAAACTGACGAGGCTCCTTATTCACATAATCGACTGGAGGGCATCTTCCCCTTACCTATGGCCAAGAAGCTTTGACAGTTATGTTAGCCGTCTATGTTAACGTCTGAGGTAGCTTAGCTTTAACATTGGTGTTAATGCAATTGAAGCTATAATTTGCTGTAGCCGTAGGACTGTAGGGTAGGCCTTATCGACAAGATAAATCTCGTATTTAACACCTCTTTTTTTATTTGATTACAGCGACTGTAACGGTAGGAGTGTTTGCAACTATTGACATCGAGTTTATTTCTGGTAAAAGTCCACCATCCTCTATCCCAACTGATGAAAATAGGGTGTACTCTGTTGCTCTTGGAGAACGGATAAGTAAGCCTGTAGAAGCTAAAATTGTACTTGATGGCAGCTATGTAACAACTGGTGACATTGCCAGTGCAGAGGTTAAAGTGACATCAATAGATGAGAATGTGTATGATAACAATCTACCTTCTACTTCTGATACATGGGCATCAACTGGAGGTAAAATATGCCAATGGGCTTACAACGTAGCGTATCCTAAAAGAAGAGATCGAAGATTTGCTGAGTAAGTACAGAAAATTGTTTGTATTTGATTTCATATTGTCATATGACTAGGATAGTTACAAAGGGAAAAATGATATTTCTACAAATGAATTTATATGCTTTACCTTCATTTAACTTTAAATAATAACTCTTCTTTCCCATATTTAGAATTGTTTGTTTTTAATACTCAGGTTTGTGTGTGCAGATAATACAACCAAAACATTGGAGGGCATTACAGCTTTTGGTGGACTAATAACTATTGAAGGACTTTATCATACTCATCCCTCTGGTTCGGTTCCCACTGGAAATCGAGTACTGAAAGTGTCAATTACAGTGAATGGAACAGAGTATACCAAAGTCACTGAGCCCATACAGGTTACTGGTAAGTGTTAGAGATATTTGAATTTGACTCACAATACATTTAAAGCAATATAAACCATGTTTAGACATTGCTTATGTACAATCTGCTAATGTCCCTGACCAATATTACAAGCAGTCACCCTACAAGGCTATACACTCACACAGCAGAGAATTTCATAGCAGCTTAAATCTTTTCAAAAATGTCTTATCCATATAAAACTACCAATATGTATAAGCCTGGAATGAAATTGACCAGGAAGTTTTGCTGGTTTATTGATTCAGCTACATATTTGAATTTATGACTTTTAACATTTTTCTTTTCTTTTGATTGACAGAGCCTGCCAAATCATTGACTGTATCATCAGTATTGCCTGCTACTGCAACAGCCAATTCACCATTTGACATCACATTACAAATTAAAGATGGATCTGGAAACGTGGTCACCAGTGGTTTAGATTCAACTCTATTTGTCACGTTATCTGTCAGTTGGGAACACAAAGAATTTTATCATCTCATTGGTAAAGAAATGTTTCTGAAGGAGACACAGGTATAGTTTATACAATTTTAATAATAAAACATGTCTACTGAAGTAAGACAGTTTCAGTTCATGTAATCGTTCAAACATAACTTGTTCTCTGGCATCATGATAAAGAAAAGATTAGAAAATTTAAAACAAATGTTTATCCAAACTGCTGTGTCTCCGTGAGTAACAGGCTTGCTCATTAACCTGAAGGTCCAGGGTTCAATCTCGGCATAGGTCAGTATAAAACCTCTAGATTTTTGCATCTCATTACACACGCTGCAATGCATGGCACATCTTCTTTGCCTAATTAAGTGCAGAAAAGTATGACATTAAACTCCACAATTATTTCAATTTTTGACTTTGAAGTGTAAATTATAAATACAGTGTGTTGTAATATCTACTTGTAGTTTAGATTAGCCGGTGATGGTGCCAGGGAACATGCTAGTTATTATGATACTATAATTAGAAAACGGGCAACTAATGGTGTAGTGACATTTACCAATGTTCGAATTCTGGATGTTGGAACAGTGAAGTTAAATTTTACCATGTCCGTTCCGAGAGATCCCTGGATTCGACAACCTGATGATTATTCTGATATGACGTGTAAAACTGTTTATGATGGAGTTTATTTCACCTATAATGATACCGCAGCTTGTCCCACTGTAGACGCTATACTCATATCAGATCCTATAATTATCACAGGTAAGTGCTTGTGATCTTTTCCTTTCACTTTCCCTCACTCTCTTCACATGAAATCATAAAAGACATGGCTTATGCTGCTGTCCTGAGGAAATTTACCTCATCTTACACTGCACAGACTTTAATGTCAGCTTTTAAATTACAATTAATGATATAAACTTTTCTTTTGTTTGAATTTGTTCATTCTAAATGAGATATTTCATCGCAAATTTAAATGATTGGTAATTTTAATGAAATTGCTGAAAAGCATAAATATGATTCCAAGGAGAAAAATTCTATTTCAATCTATATTTTAGAACAAGCTGCAGCCTCTCTAGCATTAGTTACACCTACATCTACTATTTATACAAATATTGGTGCCAATATGCCGCTAACACCAGACATTATCGTAGAAGTACGCGATTCTGGTGGGAATAGAATTTACGCTGGGCAAGACTCAACATTGGTAAATATTAAAATCTTGATTTTATTTTTGTTATTTATTGGTATTTACATTAACATGTATATCAGGATTTCTTTGGGCGTTTTCAATCCAGGCATTGATTTAGATAAAACCTTCAAACTATCAGTGATTTTTCTCATAGCATACAATATTACATTTCGTTTTGATGTTTAGAAAAATCCAAAACCATTCATAAGTTTACTGCTTATTGAAGAAATGAATGAAATTGAGTAAGCTGATGCTGCTGTCCTGATGAAATTTCCCCTATTGTAAACTGCATATAATTGACCATCTTTGGTCAAACGGGAGCAGCAAGATAGTAATACCTAAGATATACATAAAATGAGTTTTGTGTTTTGCTAGGCTATTGTAACAACTATTAGTCCAGGATCAGCCTGTTTATCAACTGATAGTAATTTTAACCTGGTAGATGGACGGGGTGTGTTTCCTGGCTCAATCTGTGACAGTGGAGCTGGAATAACTCTGTCATTTGAAACAACCAGTATCGTTTCTCCTGCTGGTACCATTTCAGCTGGACCTTTACCAGCTATGAGTGTTACAGGTTTGTTTATTTTGTATTCATTACTTACCAATATGTTAGTGACCTTAATGCTACTGTAGCTTAAAGTGTAAGTTGCCTTGCTTGTCATTTCTTGGGGCTGTGGTGGCTTCAGGAGTTAAAAGCTGACTCATTAACCTGGAGATCGAGGGTTCTATCACCTTACAAAATTCTGTAATACATAATATTTGGCCACGGTATTACGCAATTTGTAATAGTTTGACATTGTGAAGATGAAATATATCATGCATGATATACTCTACCTTCATATGAATGATATACATGTTATAAGAGTAGGGTGTAAAACTCCATTCAATTCTATTTCAGGTGACATACATATTGCTAACTTCATTGATTACTATAAATCAGGATCTAGTGCTGACCCTCAACCTCATATGGATTCATTTACTAAATTTGCTGTCAATGACATCAACAATGGAATATTTCCAGGTCTCCTGAATGGTGAGTGCTTCTTATTGACTTTAATTACCGTTCCAGCAGTCTGTTTAAAAGTTCCTAAATAACCTAAAAATGCTGACTCCTTTCCAGTGGCATTTTTATTCATCATTACAAAAAGGGCCGAGTTGTGGTCACAAAAAATGATAATCCAGATGTGAGAACTTTTGCCATATCTTCATTGTTGTCAGAGATGGCGGAGGAAGTCATCTGCTGACTTGTTAATCTGCATGAAGATTGGATCCTTAAATTAAATATGAAAAATTAAGAATATTGACTTTGATTTGTAGGAAGAACTTTAAAAATTCAGAGTGTTAACACATGGGGTGATGTATCTAAAACAGTAGATGCTTATAAAGAGATGATTGAACATGGAACAGTATGTATATTTTAAGCTTCACTTCAATAATTACTGTTCGGGTGCATGGCATATCCACCTTTCAAGAGCAATGAGGCCTGTGGCGATCAGTGACGTCATCAAATACTTAGTTTTAATGGAATTGCAGGAACTACAGACATCTGATTGACAATTAAAATTGAACAAATATTTATCAGTGTTCCCAATACACATAAAATTTAGAAAACCTCTTTACAATCCCTGTAATACATATTGTGACTGAGCATTTTCAACTTTGCTATTGCCTGTCTATTTTAATCTTTCAGGACAAATAAATATTCTAATTATACTTGAAGGGAAGAAACTCTAGCTTACCTAGTAAAACTCAGACCACAGTAATATTTCAGAACAATGTTTTATATTTCAGCATAATCCAGCAGAGAAAGTTCGGGCTATGATAGGGTTTGGTCAGAATTATTTGACTGAGAGAATGACTCCATTACTTAATGGTGATAAAATGCCATTGTTAGCTACAAGAGAGGACAAATTGGAATTTGGAGACAAGGTAAACATAAATAACAGTTTTAGTTTGGCACTGGTCTTTGCTCAATGCTTTGACATCTAATGATCTTGAAGCATATCCTACGACTGTCAAACTCTCTACCCTTTGAGGTTAACGTGCGATACTGATTCATTTATTTGTATATTATCAAAACCATTATCAAAGAGTTCAACTTAGATTAATCAAATACAATTAATGATTTTATTGAAGAGATTTTTTCTTTGTGTTTTAAACGAAAATGCCTTTGTCATTCATCTATAACTAATAATGATGTAATATTTTGCAGGCTTTATACCCCTACTATAACAGATTATCTTGGCATGAAGGAGCTGCCACCCACAGTGTTTTCTTGGCTTTTAAACAGAGGAAATGGAAGAAAGTGGTAAGTATCTATCTAGATACTATTAGCCTGTGAACAAGTGGTTTTGCTGAACAACAAATTACAAGATCTACAAGTTAGATAGGATCGAGCAAGACGAGATGAGCTGCGTTCAGTCTTAGAGCTAAGGAAATATATATAAACCCCAAGTTGTAGGGCACAATGCATCACTTGCTTGTTTTCATCTGATAACTCTATATCCACAGTGCTATCTCGAAATGGATTCCATCTCCAATCTCCACGTGAACTTGTCCGAGACCGAATTTCGATTCAGAAGAGCCTATGAACAAGTGGTTTTGCTGAACAACAAATTACAAGATCTTCAAGTTAGATACGATCAACCAAGACGAGATGAGCTGCGTTCTTTCCGCTACAACATCCGTTTGAGAATGTCTGCAGTCGAAGGTGTGAGAAATGCTTATTATGAATATGCTCGCCAAAAAGCTGACAAAGTTCTTTACCTTCGCCACAAGATCAGGTCGACGGTTGTCAGCGATTTCGAAGACGACAGCAGCAGTTCCGAAGAGTCCATGGAGTAGAAAACACTGTGATCAATAATTCAAGAAAAACGGTTCTTTTCAGAACCCCCTAAATCTAAGAAAGAGAAAGCTTTTCAAACAAAACATACAATGCAGCGATGATGGCAAGAATAAACCAAACACACTTACTTGATTTCATGTATCGTACATGTAATTTTCTAGTCTAGACATCGGTAAAATACAGAAAACGTGATCAAAACCAACTTTACAGCCAAAATTCATCTCTATAAATTCCATTGTCAAAACGTCATTCAACTGTGGCATTATGATGTCATGAAAGGCAATACAGTAACCCCCTGGTTTTCAGTCACAAACACACTTCCTGTCCTTTTTCCATGTCCAATTCTCTGTTTAGATGATCCCTGAGTTCGGGGCTTCGAACTACAGAGACGTGCGATGCTGTGTCTATCTTAAAACGTCATTTCTTGGAGTCAAGATTGTGTAGACAGAGATAGAAACCTTCATTCTGTCCAAAAACAATCTAATACTTACAAGAGTTGATATTCGCAGCGATGTTTGAGTTGCATTAGTGTCCAAATCGGTTGAGAATCTATTAAATAAATTTCGCATGACAACGCATGCTTGCTTCTCTGCAAATTCTTCATATTAACATCGGGGGGGGGGGCTTATGACACTGACAGTAATTCCACCAAGGGAGTAGCATGTGTTCCCCCCCAAAAAAAAAAGACAGTAAAATACTGTAACAATGAGATATGTTTCAGTCAGAAATGAAGTCTGTTTGTTTCGCTGTTTTCAAAGCTAATTCCCGGGTACACTTTCTTATTTTCTGGCTTCCCTTTTAAATTGAAACATCTACTTTAGGCCCATGTTTTAGCTTCAACAAAAAATGATAGATAAGCATACTAGAATGATCAACACAAAAGTCGTAAAATACCAATTAACGGTTAATTGAAAGACAATAGCCGCTATCCATCCTTATAATCACAATTCACTTGGCTCTTGACATTTACGGCAGGATTGGTATATCGTCGTTGAGCTTCTAAAACCTCGTATCTCGATTTGGTCAAAATCATTTTAGATATTCATTTCATCTAATACCGTTAATACACCTTGTGTAAAAACGTCGCAACTCTAGTCCAATTACAATTAATAATATTAGCATGTGACAAAAACTCGAAATTTTAATTGGCTTAAAAAATTACAATTAAAAACTCGTAACTCGACCACATGTTTTTAGCAGACGACAGACATTTGTTTACACTAAAGGAGTAAGTATTTCTATAAAACTTCAATGCATTTTTATTCATTTGAGACCTCAATACGTATTTAATATGACTTACAATAATCTGCACAGTCACAAAATATCTTTGTACTGTTATCAAAAGTTAATAAAATCAGTGTTGTCATATTTATATACACAAATAAGTGTATTCGAATGATATCACATTTATATCAATATACTTAACTTTAAATATTCAATAATCATAAAAACAAAGAACTCTATTGGTATTGTTCTTCATTTTATTACAAGATACGATATTTTTACTTTGTGGGGATTGATATTTCTTTTCCTAGATACTTACAGTTCAGATAAAGGTAGCAGAAAACTAAAAGAACGAAAATGTACTAAAACGTGCGAGAAAAGAAATCGTTGTAACTTATCAGATGATGATCGACAGAAAATTTGTACTGGTTTCTAGGAAAATATGGACTGGAAAGAGAACGGAATTTTTTTGAATAGTTTGGTAGATAGAGTGTAAAGGAAAGAACTGTTGCCAAAGATGATGCAGAATACAGACGAAATGGTTCAAATAAGTATTTCTTGAAGAAAGATAATGAGAAATTACAAGTCTGCAAATCATTGTTTCTGTCAACTCTTTGTCTGGGAGAAAAAACAGTTTATGCATGGATAGCCAACATAGATGATACCGGTATACCAACTAAATCACCAGGCAAACGTCTCTACAGGAGATACCATCAAATCAGATAGTGCTAACCTTTTTTGCAAAATCTGCCAAACCTACTGTCACACTATTGTAGATCCAGCAGTATGAAAAATTACCTCGAACCCGTGTTTGGTACTTCGGCAGAATTATATAAGGTGTATAAGTCTGATTGTTTAGACAATGGGAAGGTTTTCTATGGACGAAAACTGTTTTTTGAAGTTTATAATCTCCTGAATTTGGCTCTGTTTTCACCAAAAAAAGACAGATGTGACAAATGTTCTTACAAAGCTAAAAACCTTGATGAAGCAGTTTATATCCAACATATCAAAGCAAAGGAGGAAGCACGAGCTGAGAAGAAACGCGATAAACAGCGAGCAACAGATGATCCATCAATTGTTGTTCTTACAATGGATCTCCAGGCTCTACTTCTCTCACCTAAACTCAATGCCAGTGCTCTTTACTATAAAACAAAGTTAGGATGCCACAATTTTACAATTTACATCATTGTTAGCAAAGATTTCCAGTGCTACTTTTGGTATGAGAGTCAGGGTGACCTCTGTGCAAGATCTTTTGTTTCATGTGTGGATCATTACCTACAAAACAGAATAAACGACTCAGTTAAGGAGATAATTATTTATTCAGATGGTTGCACATATCAGAACAGAAACATTGTAATGGCAAACATGTTGTTGCTATCTAATAAATACAGAATCAAAGTAACTCAGAAGTATTTAGAACGTGGTCACACTCTAATGGAATGCGATTCTATACACGCTGTGATCGAGAGAACCGTTGGCAAGAAGCCCATTTATGTGCCACAAAACTATGTTGACAAGATATGCGAGGCTAGGGTGAAACCGTTTGCTTATAGAGTAGAAGTTGTAAATTATGCCTTCTTCAAAGATTATTCATCACTTGGATATTATGGTTCAATTCGTCCAGGAATCAAGGTTGGTGATCCCGTGGTAACAAATTTGCGAGTACTCGAATATTCAGGAGCGCTAATTCGATATAAGAACAGCTACTCAGATGATTTAAATGATGTGCCCCGTCGATCAAAACAGAAGGATCCAGATCCGTCAGATGAACCACTAATTCTCCACAATTCTGCTATTCCGATCAAGAGGAAGAAATTTGATCATTTGCAAGATTTGAAACCTGTAATACCAAACGATTACCATTACTTTTATGATAATCTCGCCCATGAGGGATATTGTTGAACACACCCATGTTAACAGTTAATTAGTTCTAATTTCTTATGTTTATAATCCTTTGAAAGTCTTCAGCTCTAATTTTCCATGTTGAATAAACAATCCAATTTCAGTTTCCATTGGTTTCATATTGTGCTTAATAAAGTTATTACTGTTGATATAAGTAAATGCAAAAAATATCTATGTTTACTCTTCGAAATGCATGCCGAGCTGAAACACTCAATCGCAGTGTAACATTAGGTGTTAGCATTCCCTGCATGTTCCAGGTGAGGTTTCATAAGAGAAGATATCAAATTGTCACCATCGTATAAAACTACGATTTCAACTAATATCCATTTTGTCTCGATTGTGCACATCTTCAACCAGTCACTATTTTCATTTCCTAACTTAATAAGTTCATTTTGTAGTAATGGTGGTGTTGATAAAATATCTTATCTCCCTAAAATCAGCTTTATGTTTGAATAATCGTATGTAGAGAAATATATCTTATCTCGATTCATCTAATATGACTAAACATCGTATCTCGTATCGTGATTCCTATTGTTTTTCAATTCCGTGGAACTAAATTCAGCAAATATGCATTTCTTTCCGTTGTTGATGTGTCAAATATGGGATCAATAAGATAAAAACTGACAGAAAAAATCAGTTTTTTTTCTTCTCCTGAAAACCTAAATTCTGAGATACGAGGTTATTGAAGCGCAACGATGATATGTCATTGGGAGACATTGCTGTCAGTCTTAGATCTAAGGGAGTATATATAAACCCCAAGTTGTAGGGCACAATACATCACTTGCTAGTTTTCATCTGATAATTCTATATCCACAGTCCTACTTGCTTACCTCGAAATGGATTCCATCTCCAATCTCTATCAATCAATAATCTCGTCCAAAGAATGGCAAAATCAGGAGTAAAAGTTGTATAGTAGTAGAAATCTACAAAGTGAAGAACCATCAGGTGTTTAGAAAAGAGTGAAGCACTGGGTGTATAATAAAAAATTTGTATATTTATTTGTAGACTATAATAAGAGGAGGTGGTTATTCTATAACTCAAGTTGTTTATGATAAAGCAAAATCTAACGGTGTTACTATAGTAGGAGAGGTAAGACATATATCTTAATCTTTAAACTGACCAAAATCTTTCAAACTTCATTTTCACAATCAGGTGCAGGGAAAGCAGGAATTTCAATTTTGTTTCATTTACATAGACACTAGACAAAGACCTGACTTTTATTTAGACAGTCCAGTCAAACATGACTGAAAATACAGCCTGACTTCTAGCTGACTCAAAATCTCTTGCTGAACTTAATTTTATGGCTTGCTTACAAGCTTGGAAAGAATATCTTGACAATGTTCTTACCTAGTTTAAATCAGTACCAATATACAGCTTGGACAACGGAAAGATGAATGTTGAGGGTTTTAGATATTGATGACCATAACAGGCAATGTTCTTTCCTGGTTTCAATCCATACTAATTTATATCTACATCTTATGAGTTTTAAGGTAACCATGTCAATAATAATATGTAAATTTATAGGTAAACATCCCATCTATACCAGAAACTGATTGGAATGCTGGAGTATTAAGTGAAGAAATGGCTAAGATCAAAAGTTTTGGAACACGAATTATATTTTTGTTTGTACCAGCTAAACTCATGTATTTAGTGTTAAGAGAAGCAGCTATGTAAGTCAATATTTTTTCATCACATTTCATTTTGGGAGTCGGGTTGGCTCAGGGGCCAAAATTTTACTCTAATTCGTAGCCTAATTCTCTGACTCGAAAATTATCAGATGATTTTAGTGTTCCAGTCTTCTGATTGGTCTATCAAGGGTTTGGAATTTAATTTAATTATCCAATCAGATTACTATATTTATCTTGCAACATGT